GCAAGTGGAATGGAGGGCTCTCAAAGAGGTACTTGATTAGGTTGTCTTATTGTTGTTTGGCGTTTCCTGCACAATGCAGGAAATATAAAATCCTTTTTTTCAAAAACCAGGACCACCTTAGTGATTTATGCATCGGTACAGCATTTCTATTTTCCAATAAGTTTTTACTCACCTTAGCAAGCTTAAATTGCATTTGGAACTTTGAGGTGTGGCAATGCCTTTTGGTGTGTGCACAGGAAGGGTCCCTGCTGCACACCACAAAAATGACCATTTCACCCATAGGATATTTTAAATGCAGATACTTTGCTCATTTCTTTGACTAGTAGCAAAGTGTCAGTAAAGCACTCACTGCATGCTTTGAACTATTTTGCCTTTTTTTCCATCATAATTTTTTGTAATTGTGGATGGAACAGAAATGCAGCAGAGATCACTGCAAATGTGGGCTTGGGAAGATGATGTTCCAGGTAAGTGGAATATCAGTGCTTGCAGATAAGACTCTGAGATGGCTGACAAACAAGCAGGAACCTGTGTGATCAGTAACCAGGCCCTGCAGTGTAGGTGGTGGATAAGAGTCTGGTTGTTTCCCGCTCTATTCCCACATGATCTTGAGCAGATTGACTAAGAAGTTATCAAAAAGTCACCGCAGTTCAGCTTTCCCTGAGGACATGGACTTTGCAGAAAAGCACTGTGGAGCCTTTCCATACCCCAAGAGCCCAGGGTAGCTCTGCACACTGCGCCATGGGCATTTCTGCGTCTCATCTGTTAAATGAAGCTGATGGTGTTGCCTGAACCTTGCACTGGTGTAGATGGAAAGATCCTTTAGGAGGATGGAAGCATGTAACTCTGCTTCTGGAACGATGTGTGTAAATGGGAAAGTCTTCTTTTGCCAATCACTTCTCAAAAGTTGCCTCTGTAACTAATTTATCAAAAATTTCTGTTCAATGTTATGTCAAAACAAGAGAACAACTTATAACATCATGAATATAATTTCTGTTGTTTTTCTTTTGGGGGTTCCCTTGGCTTTGAAAGGTGGTGCACAGATGGCAAGTGGCTGTTTGGGCATCCACACAGTGCCACTGTCCATGTGCTTTGATCTTCCTTACAGAGCTTTGGTGTGAGCCTTCTGTGCACTATATTGTGTAACTGCTTTCAGGATGTGATTTTGTCTCACAGATGTAGAAGAGGGAACTTGTTTAAAGAGGTGGAAGACCCTCCAGAGGCTGGATGTTCTATGGAGACATCATTTAAAAGAAAAGGTTTTGCCTCAGCTCAACCCACTGAATGGGCAGCCTCGGACTCAGGCAACAGGAGAGACACTTGGCCAACAGGAATGTGTCCCAGGCAGCCCAGGCTTCCTGCTTGTCGTGAGGGTTGCTTGGGTCTCTTGGGTCCTCACCTCATCTGCTGCTGTGCTTTTAGGATTGATCAGTGCATCTGCAGAAGTCATTGGCTGCACTTCAGCCTTGGCTTTGTCCCATTAGGTGCTCTTTGTGGAAGGGTTTCCCAGCTTTCCTCCATTTGGCAGCACTCCTGTGACCACAGAAGCACCTCTAGAACAGCAGGTAGGGTAGAATGGCCTTTTTAGAACTTGGTGAGCAGCACAACTGGGCAAAAAAAGAAACACTAAGGCAGGTTGTATGATCACCATTTTCTCTCCGGTTCCTTCTTCCACGCTTTTGACTGCAGGATTGTTACTCATGTACATTTTAAAATTAGGTCAAACTGGAAATAAGAAGATCCAAGGGAGCAAGAGAAGCAGCCTGTCTCTCAAATAACTCCTCTCTTGCCCTTCCCTAAGCTAAGAGCATACCCTCCTCAGGGACCCAGCTGAAGCTGCGCTGGCCCAAATTAATTCAGAGTCCACCTCAGAAGAGCTGGATGAGCATCTACTACCTCTTGGGCAAACCAGCAATTCCTTGTGACAGGCTGACCTCATACAGAAAATGCTTAGATGTGGTCTTCCCTAGGAAAGGAGTTGGTGAAAGAGCTGGAGGGGAGGGTGCTTTAGAGAAGGCTGAAGCTTGTCTCATAAAAGATTTGATTCCATATCCTGACTTACCTCCTGAAAATACCGCTTCCCTTTGCATTCCCCAGGAGGAAGGGGCAAGAATCCATACCTTTGCAATCTGGAAGGAGGTCAGCAGCCTTTTTTCAAAAAGCATGTGCTATCTCCAGAGGCCAGCAGGCTCTGCCGTGCTACTGCCAGGAACCAGCACTTTCCTCCTTCAAGCTGCTTAGTCCTGAGTCCCCCGGGCTTCTGTACACTGGCTAATTACAGTGCAGGCCCCAGAGAGTGACTCCCTCAGTGCTGCAGTGCTCAGAAAACAGGGCACCCAGCTTCAGCAGTGGTGACGTTCACAGGGTGGCCAAAGAGGCCCCGAGGTCTTCCTGCACATGGAATGGGGATTTGGCATATGCATGAACATGGAGCTAAATAAGACCAACTGAAAAGCTGCTTTTCTGAACGTGGAGCACTTGAGATCTGAAGATAAAAAGGCAGAGGTGCACTGACTGCTCCTTGATACCTTATGTGGCTAGAATTCAAGAGTATGACCAAAAACAATCAGGAAAAAAGCCAATTACATTTTTTCAATATTAAATCTTTATTATATACAAAAATATTTTGTTGGGAATTAACAGAATTTCATCATTTGTACATTAATATTTTTATGTTTGGCTGTGTTTATTGTGAAAATATTAGCTGTGAAAAAGACAAGGAGGGGGGTCTTAGAAAACAAGTCACAATTTAAAAACATCCCACGTAGTAGCTGACTTTATCAGTATGAAGTCACAATGCTAAGAAGTCCCATATCCTAGGCCTGCTCTACAGTACAGTATTCAAACAATTAGGTACTAAATAATTTTCAGGTTTACATTAAAAGTCTAGCTAATAGTTAACTTTTTGTAGGAAGTTTTCAGCTAAAGAAACTAATTTTTTTACAGGAGAGCAGTTTTGAAAATTTTACAAATGTCAAATCCAGTTTAATTTAATATGCTGTAGAAATGAAGACAAACAAACAAACAAAAACCACAAGAGCTTCCAACTGGCAAAACCAGTTGTGAGAAGAAGCAAGGTAAGGAAACACAAAGTGACAGAGTTCTAACAGACATTTAAACCCAAACACTTAACCAAGATTCTACAGTTCTTAGCCCAGTGTAGGGTGGGAGAGAGGCAAACTTTCTTGTATTTTAAAATCCACAGAGGTGGTTCCCCTCCTTATACCACAGTGCACAATTGTTACACATGGGCAATATATGATGGGGGACCAGGGGCAGGGAAGGGATGCTCAACATGCATTTTCATAGGGGGAAAAATGTATTTCAACAGTTATCTCCATATATAATTGTGTACAAGACCTAAACCAACCAAACAAAAATCAGTCAAGTTTTTCTTAGCAACCAACAATTTGGCTGCCAGCCTGGAACTGTACAAAGCAGTGCCATTCATTTTGCACTACACTACGTATCGTGAGAGGTCAAATAACGGAGAAGTTACTTGGGGTTTTGGAAGAGGCTCTGCTGTGTTTTAGGTAAATGCTGGCTACTTGTGGAATAATACTTGGCTCAGCCATGAGGACAGCCAAAGTTGCACGGAGAAGCATTGGCATGGAGCTGCTGCTGTAAAAGGGAGAAGGCTAAATGGGAAAAAGTGTTTCCAGGACTACTTTCAACTATGTTGTCCAATGACTGCCCTAATAGCAAAAGGAACTCCATACCCAGTGAAAGTAAGAAATGGTTCCAAATACTGAGAACAAAATTAATTTACTTCAAGTGTAATTTATTCCATAAAATATAAATATTGCTGAACCCCTGCTGAATAAATTCTTTTTGTAGGTGAAATTGCTTAACAGCCTTCACCAAGCTGGGGTTTGTTTTTAAGCCTGTACAGGTAAATCTCAGCTGCAATACCAGCAAATGAACGCAAGAGTTCAGCAGTTGAAAATGGGACCATTTGTGGAATAGCATCCCACCATGGAGAATTCAGGTAAATTAGCAGATATTACCTGAATTACTTGCAGTATTTACCCCTAAGTTTTACATGTATGTGTGTGAACATGAGCACACTTTTAATATGTTTGGAAGCCAACACTGCCTGTAAAATAACCCAAACTGGTTATTTTACAAGCATTTTTTACTCTATTTTTAAGTGTCTCTCTTGGGCCTAAACCCAGTAAGTTACACTAGTCCTAAATACCAATGTTTATATTGACTATTATTTCCCCTACAAGACATGAGTGGAGAATCCCAGACGCTTTCCATCAGAAAGCCTGTTAAACATACCTGAAAACTGAGAAGGAGAGGCTAAAAAAAATAAAGCCGGAAAAAAAGAACAGGGGGCCAGGACTTCAGCACTGTCAGTCATGACAGTCCACCAGAGAAAGCAAATTAAAGTACCTTTAAGTACAGAAACCCTTTCAATGGCCCAGGAGAGGTTCTGGGGGGCAGCTGGGAGCTGAGGGGTACTTAAGGCAAGAGGCCTAGCAGACTACAAGTCTTTGTATCCAGTAACCGCTATGTAGACATCAATAAAGTGATCTCACCACTTTTGCAAAAGTAGTATCATGAAGTTTGGCAATAACAATGTGGTAGTTGAACCCTTCGGAATTTGGGTGAGGCAGGAAAGAAACCCTGCATGAAAGAAACAGTCTGTACAGATTTGTGTGACAGATGTGACAGAGCTCCAGCTGTATTTGTTTTAGAGCTGCATTGAGAGGCACAGCGAGCGAGGAACAGCATCTGCCTCAAGGTTCAGTCTGAACGGAGCAGTAAGCTAGAGGAAGCCTGGATGGGAAGCCAAGGAATAGGTGAAAGAAGTTTGAATTTATGTACACAATATTAGCTCATGCATAAGGACAGGTAAGAACCCATAGTTCCTTATTTGTGGACTGCTCTGCTTGATCATCCTCCACTGGTCCTTAAGCATACCAGACAGGCCAGCTGGGCTCAAGGGGGTACCCAGCCAAGGATTTTCTGTGTTTCAAAGAGAAAAAAAGTTTTTCTCAGCTGAATCACCCTTTTCAAAACAAAACCAAACCCAGATGACTTCTGAGTACTGAGCTGCAGGCAATTTGTACAGCAAGTCACTTAGGTGTGATTTTAGAAGATGCAGTGAGTACAGAGGATGGGGAAATAAATGTCACATTTTGAGCCTATCCAAGATGTGACAGTTTATATAAACACAAATTCAAAAGTGATGAGCTGATCCACCATCCTGCTTCACAAAGCTTCTGTATGACTAAGTACACAGAGCTGCCCTGATCTGAGAACACGGCACAAGTTACAGATACTGCGTCGGTTATAAATTCAATTTTCCTTGCCTACAAAGGTCTGTGATTGTGCTCCAATTTTACCTTCACTGTATATTTGCAGAACATTTTGAAAGACTTTTATAAATCTATGCAAGATGACATATTCCATTATAACTATCCCACTTTCCATTATAATTATCCCACTAAACTTGAACTGCATCTTGTCACATGATGCAGAACCTAAAATAGACCTGCTAGTAACATTTAGAGACAGCAAGGTAATCACCTGGGTACACATGCACCAGGGTATTTACATGAAAGTTGAGATTGGTGCACGCTTAAGGGAATTTTTGGTGAATTCAGGGAAATAACTTACAGGTCTTGGCATACTGACTGTACTTCTATGTATAACTTTTCATTCACAGGGCAACGACAGTGTTTCTTCTATAAGTCTCTATATGTACAGAATTTTACAGCACCTCATGCACTGTCCAAAACAGATAGAAATTACAGATAAATATAGAATTTTTTAGATTGAAATATCTGTATATTTAGAAAAATATACATTAGTAAACACAATAAACCAGGTAGAGAAGTGTACCAGTTCTAAAGTCTCACATGCAGGTACATTTCTGGATTAAGTCATGGTAGCTTAGTAATGTGATAACCAACATGAGCATTTTTTGTTTTACCATCCACATACATACATATACACAGACAACTACTTGATAATTTACTTTTCTAAACTACTTAAATATTTATCTTGTGATACATACCACATATCTTAAACATTTAGCAGCATCTTCACCTCGCTCAGACACACCTATTGTAATCATTAACAGTCAATGTAAAAAGTTTTCCTGTTAGTATCTGGAAAATTAATGTTTAGTACAGAATGAGATACATGAAATCCCAGTTATTTTAACTCCTCTGAAATACTTCAAACAGCTGTTCTATGAAATGTTTTCACTTGCTCAAAATGAGCCTTTCATAGTGTCTTTCTCCCCTAATTGCACAATATACAGGTCCCTGTGTAACAGCTGATCCAGCACACCCTGGCAGGTAGGGACTGTCACTGCTGTGAATGTCACTGAAATGGCACCAGCACTGTAAGAACCCCCAAGAATGCTTTTTTTAAAAAAAGTAACTGTCATTCTCATGCTAGTCATCCTACCAGGTAGTGACAAACTAAGCAGAATATCTGATGAAAATCTGTTTTTGCTAAAAAACAAAACCAAGACCCACCACTGCAAAAAAACAAGCCAACCTTTCTCCCTCTCTCAACATTAAACACGCCAGTATGAACCCTCAAGATTTAAAAGATGCAAGAGTGTGGTGTTTGGGTTGTTTTCCCCCTTACAACCTGGCATGTGGACATCCAGATAAAACCTGCAGACACTTCCATACAATCATTGCCTGCAACCTAAGCAAGCCATCTTCTCTTATTGCTTAAGAATTGTACTGCTCATTGGCATCTACACTACCACCACCAATGCTCAGCCACCAGGCTGCACTGTGCTCACTGCCTGATTTAAACACACAGTGCGAACCTGTAGCAAATGCTAAAGCTTTAGGCTTCAGCAAATATATGGATATTTTGGAGACTGCTAACTAGGAGACTCTTTCGACAGTGTTCTCTCTGAGATGGAAGCAGAAGGAGCAGAGAGCTTATCCTGACTAAACCTTGGTGTCCATGTTTCATGTGTCTCATTTGGTTAAGTAAACTTACAGAAAAAGAAGAGATAAAAATAAGTGATATTTGCAATATAAAGTACTACGGTGTGTAAACTGAAGAATCTTCTCATTCCATTCATTAGGGAAGAGTGAACTCAGCCCATTTTTGGCATCATAAATAAGAGTATTTTTCTAACTCATAATGAAAAGGCATCATATCTGTCCAGACAGCACATCTTATTTACAGCATATGGAGGTCTCCTATGACACAATACACAAACACAGTTCAGTCATGTTCAGCATAGAGTGCCAAAAGCAAATCATTAAAATAGCCAAGCAACGGCCCTGCTATCATTTACTGCTACATACAAAACTTGATCCATTTCTCAAAGCAGCCTCTGAGTGATAGGATCAAAGAACATGTTTCCTGGGAAAGGAAACTAAGAGTCCCATGCTGGTGCCACATTTAAAAGCTCTGCCAAACTTAAACAAAACCAGAGAAAACACATCCTGAAAAGTATAGCAGTAAAACAAAGTAGTGGTACAAATTTTCCTTAGAGAATTTCAGATTCCCTCTAAAAGACTGAAATCTCAGTATTAAGAGCCACAAAGATTTCCTGTGCCATACACAAGTTTGACTGATATTTTCCACATACACTGCGATTTAAAGTCCCCTCTGCCCCTTTTTCCCCACAACAACCAACTTCATAGGCTTTGTAAAAATCATTTGTAGTATACGGGTGTTTTGAGGGATTTTTTTTTTAACACACTTTTCCTGTAGTGCATCAACTCCATTTTTTCTTTTCCTTGTGCACATAAAAGTCTTTTGAGAGCCCCAGGAAGCAATACTGTTTTTCAGTGTCTAAGCCTGTCTTCCTCCAGAAATAGTTCTGAGGAAGCTGCCTTTTGATAGCACTCCATGTCACACTTTGGTGTTGAGAAAGAATCCAGAAGCCAGGTGCCTGTCACCAGATGGAAGAGAAATTAAACAGATGACTTCAGTTTAGACACCTAACCCAGTACATGATGGTGAATCTGACTATATACAACAGCTGACACTATAATATAAAACATGGTCACAAAAAGAGCTCGTCTGTGCAACAAGCTGTCTTTTTGTTCTGTTCTCATTAAGCAGAAATTTACATCAGCCTAAGTTTTGATCGATGAACTTGAACCTAATACAAATTATATCAATGAGCCTACTGAGGGGAGAACTGTCACTAAACAAAATACATTGTAAAACAAAAAAGGTATAAACAACATTGCTTTTTAGTAGTAAGCTTCCAATTCACAAGCTATCTAATGAAAAATGCAATTAAAAACAATGTGAGAAAAAGCACAGTAATGCCATTACGCAACACTCATAAAATACAGCAGTTGATCACACACAAATATTTAAAAGATAATTTAGAACCCAGTCAGACATCACAGGAAATGAAGCCACAGATCACTATACAAATATAGAACAATGTTCTAAGAAAAGAAAATGCCTTTTTTTTTTTTCTTAAAGCAGTCTGTTTTCACAAGTGTGAATAAATAGTCCTAAACATTAAGTGTCACTTACAAGGCTCCACATTATCAGGTTCTCTCTCAAGCTACTTCACCTTTATTCAAATTGCACTGAATTACCTGGCATATGACTTTCTAATATCAGTACTTCAACTCTAATGGGCTAACAAACAGGTTGGCTCCCAAGAAAGCTTAATAAGCAGCTTGCAAGGTATTGCTCTATGTTAACTTAGGAGACAGATATAGGGGAACCTACATAAAAGTTACCTAAATCAAGAGATATCAAGAACTTGTGAAACATCAGGAATGCACCCACATTAAGCCGAAAGAAGCTGGAACAATGGAGCTGTTTGTTGCTGCTTGTAATATTTAAAATTCTGCTCCCATGAAATTTTGATTTTTTAAGGAATTTTAAAAAAAAACGAAGAAATTAGTGTTCTTTCCTAATAAGAGTGATAGACTTTTGATCAGTTAAACACTGACATTAACAAATTTTACAAAAATTGTTTCAAGTATCCTTTTTTTAATCACAGTGAAAATGTAAGACCAAGATGTAAATGTTGAAGTGAATGACTGAAAGTTTCTTAGATGAAAAAGGTAAAGGTACTAAATCAAAACATAGAAAAATGCTTAAACGCATTTCCTTTATGTGATATGAATAGAAAGGTTATCTGTAAAAAGTTAGAAAAATTAAAATAAATTACATATTTAAGTACACTTTCTCTTCAACATTTTTATAAAAATTCAGAACAGTGTACTTTTGAATATACACAGAGTAAAAATGCACAGGTGCTGTAGGTTATCATCAGTATGTACATGTCACATTTGCTGCTGTTGATTTTATTTGTTACTTAAGCTCCTCTCCAGACATCTCAATACACCCAGCTGATGGGGACCCACTGTGGCTCCAGCCTCAGTCTCTCAATGGCAGTCTGCAGCTTCTCGAAGGCTTTGTCCAGGTTGTCATTGACAATGGTCAGGTCAAAGTAGTGGTTGTACGCTCTCTGGATCCGGGCGCTTTCATCTACTGTTTTTTTCAGATCAGTGTCCTGTGGAAGAGATTTTGAAGGATTACTAAATCTAAATCTTACTAAAGATTTGATGATAAGACTTGGCAAATCCTTATAAACACAGAAGAATATCCCTTCAGTACATATTACAAAGCTATATACTGAATATATTAAAAAAATAAGAAAAGTTTTCATTTATAGTAAATCCATGCAGAACTTTAGTTAAAATACATTAAAAGGACTGAAAAAGTTACAAGCTGTGCCAATAATGTTAAATATGGTAAGAAAATGTTTGCCAGTCTTGCAATTTTGAATCATTAGAATCACGTGAACTTGGGCTGGTGTGCACAACGGGTAGTTAATCCTTTTGTACGAGCAACCGATGATCCAACCAGAATAAAATTAAGGCTTTAGGAATGACTGAGTCAATCAGTCTTGTAAATATATTTGTGCCCCTTTTACTTCCACAGAAAGCACCAAAAATCCAAGATTTAAATCAGTATGAAACAAAACCCAATGAAAGATACATTTCTATCAGAATAAAGCTCTAGAATACTATATGGCTTTTGGAGGCAGCATTTCAGCCCTGCTCACCAGACACTGGTTTGTGAACTACTGCTGCATTATTGTAGTTCTGACATGAGCTACAAAATATGCAAGAAATTTATATTCCTACATTATGAAGCTTCATGAAGGTACCTCTGAGTACATTTTTGTGTTTCATTAGTCCTACATTCTTCAAAAATTCCTCTCTGCTTTTGCACCATAGAATTTTTTTTGTAAGCAATTATGAGATTTGTCCCCCTTTACAATATTTACTTTCATATTTTCAAGTCCTGACACAGTTGTCAATACAAAAGCCAAAATGAAAAAGTAAGTTTGTGAATAGCCTTTCCTTCACAGTAAATGAAGGAGACAAGTAAATGTATGACTACAAGAGCCAAAATTTTTGTAATGGAATGGCTTAGAATGCTAGAAATAATACAGACAGACCCACTAACAAGCAGAATATCATACTTAAAATTACATTTGTTTTTCATTTGTTGAGGAAGCACAGGAATATGAAATAGGAAATCATACTGTATACACGTGCACAGATACAATTCAGAATCCGTAAAGACACAAAAATGCATATTTGAAATATAACTATGCTCTTTATTATTCATAAGGAGAAGTAATAGAGAGGCAAGGATGTCCCTAAGGGAATCAAATATTAGAAAGTGCAGGAAATCATTTTTATACTTGTCTGGACAGTTTTTAACACTGGCTTCTTGTATATGCACCACAAAATTCAGGGGACATTTGGGGCAGGGAGAAGGAAAGGCTGAGCATCCACGGAGATACTAGAATACAATATAAGATAACCAGAATCCATAACTAAAAATCACACATTCATTTAGTGGAATACTAACCCACCCCCCATTTTACTGCTTTGAATGCCTTGTCAGCATTATTCAAGATATTGCTACTAAGCTACAGCACTATCTTTGTGAGTCGTCAGCAAACCTCGGCTTTTCTCCGATGGGGAAGTGGCCCTGCTGAACATAGAGGGTAGTTTTCTTAACTGCTCATCTGGCTTTTTCCCTTTGCTCCTGCAGCTGGGAAGTTCATGCCCACACAGAATATTTATAATTTGCTGTGCCTGAGGAAGCATGTCTCATTTCCCTCTGCTACACACCGTGTCTCAGAAAGGCAGGGAAGATCTAATTAATAAAATGGGCCACTTCGCTTTACATGATAAATCCAAGGAACTTCAGGGGAGGAGAAGCTGTTCAACATTTCCTATTCTGGCAGTTCTCAGCCATTTCTCAGGGCAGCATGTGCTGCTGCAGCAGTTGAAACAAGGACTACCTGCATTCTTAGTTGTTTTTATTGGGGGTTTCTTTGTTTGGATGGTTGGGGTTTTTTTTGTTTGTTTGGCTTGGTTTACAAAAGCTGCAATATCTTTCCCAAGGATGACAGATTCCATTTTTAAGGCACATGTGTATTATAAGACAAAACTGAACAAAGATTTTTGGGGGAGAGATATGGAAAGTGAAGGAAAGACGTTTGCATAAAAGAACAATTCCCACCATGAAATATCAACCACTTCCTACAAATAATCAAAGGTGACACTTTCCAAAGAACACATTACATATAATTTTTGTAATCAACACTTCCCTGCAAGAGGTCTATTTTTAAGAAAGAAGCAATCTTCCTTATATGTAGCATTTGATTAACTTTTACTAAGTAATCAGCAAAAATCTTGCCTAATTTTTCTTATAAACATTAATTTCAGAACAAATTCAACCTAAAATAAAGGTAAAAATTTTTTAAAAATCTAAGAATAACCTGTTCAAAGCAAAAGCAAATAAATAAGAAATAATCTGCTTACAGTGAGAAGTTTGGTTGTAATTCCAGCATCTACCACAGCCTTGTGCATAGCTCGCAAAGTCTCCAACTCTGGAGCAGCAATAAACACTACATAGGGCATGAATTCTGAAGTCCTCAGTATTTTCAGGGCCTAGAAGCAAAGAAAAAGAAAAAAACCCCAAAGTTTGAGAATGACTCACCACATATCCCCTTTACTTAAGGGGCACTGCAAAACTAATCTGTTACAATGGACAGGAACACATAAGCAAACATTCTTATTTCTATTTTAGAAACTCCTACACAGTTTTTTGAAATGCTCGACATCCTTCCTTCCTTGGCTAAAAAGATTATTTACTACTCTGCAAGTCTCCTTTTTCATGCAGAATGTAGGCTGGGTTTTTTCCATCTTTCTCTAACTCATTCCAATGAGGTGGCACAAAGGCATGAATCCAGTTGATATTATAATCAGAAACCAGATAAGAAGCCTTCAAATTTTAACGCATACCTCTTTACCTCTTCAACGTTATACTCCTACATTTGTAGTGGAACATTATAAATGACATACCTGTGGATTTACATCCAAGATGCAGGTCCTTCCTGTCTGAACAACTTCAAGGATGGAATCAATTTTGGTGCCATAAAGATTTCCTTCATATTCTCCATGCTCTAAATATCTTCCAGCTTTAATATCCATCTCCATTTCAGCTCGTGACACAAATCTGTACGCTTGCCCATCTTTTTCATCATCCCTTGGCTTTCGTGAAGTAACTAAACAAAAAATTTAAAATATAAATTGAATGTTTTCTTTTTATATTTGGAATAAAAATATGGGACTGGTCTGCCTATTAAGTTAGGGAGAATATAATATACATTAATATACAATTGTAATTGTTCTATGTACAGATTAATTCATTATTCTAGTGTAACTTTTAAAACTGAACACAGCCCCTCCTGTTCCCTTTATTTCTATTCTTTCCTCTATGTTTCTTACTCATTTGCCTATTTCCTTTGTATTACTCCTTCACACAATATACAATACTCATTCATGTCGTATTTTTAGTTAAATAATTATTTAAGTGACTTGGAAATCAAATGGAAATTTAACTCTCAAATGCCAAATGTACTTTCAGAAAATAACTGAACACACAACAAGATCTGCCTCATCCCACCCCCAAACCTTTGCTCACTGTATTTGCCCTTGCTATTCAGGATAGAATTACCTAAGCTAGCTATAAAGAAAGTTACTTAAATATCAGAAGCAGCCCAGCCACTGTTGCAGAATCTTAGAGGAGGCCAACTGATGCTACTTTCCAGGACAACTTACCCTTTAAAATAAGGTAAATTCCCTGCAGAAAGATTAAAGCCAATATTTAAGTAAAGCATTATCAATTCTCTTGGGTATTGACTAAACTGTACAGTACAGACATTATTTAAGCAAGAAAGTAAAAATAAAATAAAATGCCCTATTGAATTATTATTGACTTTGTAATCCTATCACCATATTAACTACCCACTACTTGTATTTAATCAGATTTGAACTCTTGAACATATTAAATGTAACAGTGAATGGATTCCTTTGGTAATACTTTTATCAGCACTTGGTGCAACTTGGTGATACAAGTGGAAAGCAGTCTCTCCCTTCCAGTAATTCCTATCAACTTCAATATGATAGAAAACTCAAGTCTCAGGAAAAATGATCTTCTGAAGCTATTAATGATAAACAATATTACTAGAATATCTGGTTTTAGTCATAATTCTACAGAAACATTAACACTATAATGGTTAATACAATACAAAAAAAAATATTATCATATCAGTTTGAAATAAATTTTAGAGAATGGGATTTAACAGTTTACAGTCAGAAGATGACTTAACAGTTCAGGTATCTCTGTTGAAGAGAAACCACAGCAGCATGTGCTGGATTAGAGCTCAACACCAAGAACATGGTTGTCTCCATAGCACTATGGATCCATTTCAGCCATTTACCAACCCCTAAAAAATCCCACATATACTAGTTTGTGAATAACCTGGAGAATTTTCTTCTAATAAAGAAACTGAGACCAACTAAAATTACTGATTACTGATTATCCCAGTTAAAATCTAAAGCAGAGAGGAGAATCTACATATAATAAACTAGTTACTGCATGTGCATGATTAGACTGTCAAGATTGGGAAAAGTTAATTTTTATATGTTTGAAGTGTGTTCAAAAACTCCAAGTATTTTAACACTGTTACATTACTTATATATATTTAAGCATTTATATAGCATTTTAGAGAAACAATTAATTCTGAGGGCTTTTTAAAAATAGAATAAGAATTTTAGAAGCAATAAAAAGTCTATTACTATTTTGCCAATATAAAATAATGAGGTTCCCAGGGCAAGATTTCCTTAGAAAAGTAACACTGAGAAGTCGACCTTATTATCAGTCCTATATACCAGTTCTAAACACTCTGGCTAGTTTTGGTGTTAGAGATTCAGAAAATGAGAGAGACTGGTTCTCTCCTGTTGCACAATTAATCTTTCAGACCTGTCCCTCCTCCCCTGTTATCATCAGATCTACTTCTTCCCACTGCAAACAGAAGGGAACAGACTGGTTTTGGAATTCTGAAAAGCATATGGCAGAGAATAATAATGTAGCTAGGGTGGACTTCTCTGGTCAGCAGTCAAACAGGAGGGAGCAGTTAAAAAACATAAAGGTCTTGAGAATGAGCAAAGTATCTGAAAGGTAGGCAAGGAAACAATACTTCAGTAATGGAGGAGCATTTTTTCTGCAGCTGACAGAGAGAAAAAATGAGGACCATGGACTTCAAGCTAGATATATAAAAACATCAGCTTGTTATACAAATCTTGGAGAGTACAAACACTTCAGTTTTATTGGACGTTTCTTGCTATTCCCTACATTTCTAATACTAAAGCAACAATTTATAATGACTAGGATGCTTTCACAGGTGGAAAACTAAAAGGCAGACCTGAGAAACTCCACTGGCTGTTCCTTACAGAAGGCTACTAGAAACTTCTAGAATCTCCCCAGTAAGGGATTGTGACTGACACTGAAGAAACCCACAGACTGAAATACTGCACAGACAAAAACTGGTTTTCTGCAGCATCAGTAACATTTAACTGCTAGTTACAAATATTTTCACAGTCATCATATGTTAGTTCAATTGTCTGAAAAGAGGAAGTGTCTTTCATTTTCCCACTCTATATAATTTTTATACTCTGACAAAAGTAATCCTACACTGAATCATTGGGATAAACATCAGGTATTTTCCAGATAATCAGAGACCTAAAGTATGATATGATGATAGGAATGCTGACAACTTACATGGCACCGTAGTTCCAAACCTAGTAGGATTCAGTACTATGAACCTGTTCTTCAAACTTCTTCGCCCCACTCCTTGGGCCCCAATCAAGACTAGTGTTTTCCTTTGAAAAGGAGGCATTTTGGCCACTTCCTCATAGATCTGGATTTCATGGCGATCAAATTCTAGATTGAGAAATGTACAAAAAAGTTTAATACACAGTCAGTGCTGTAAGAAAAAAAACAACTAAGCAGTCCTGCTATATTTCAAAAGACCCCATGTGAATATAAATAGTACTCAAAGGGCAGTAAGTCTAATATGAGCTTTTTTGCTTTAAATTGGTTTGGGAGTGAGATAGCTATCCCTCCATGGACAGCATCAAGGTCAGATTCTCACATTTACTTCCAAAGAGAAAACTGGAGTTTGATCAGAAGGGAAAAACTGTGATTAACAATTGAGTTTTTACAGAATCACAGGATGGTTGAGGTTGGAAGGTACCTTGGGAGGCCATCTGGCCAAACCACAATGCCCAAGCAGGACCACCTGGAGATGGTTGCCCAGGACCACATCCAGACAACTGTTGAGTATCTCCCAGGAGGAACACTCCACAACTTCTCTAGACAACCTGTGCCATTGCTCGGTCACCCTCACAGTGGAAACAGTGTTTTCAGAGGGAACCTCCTGCGTTGTTGCTTGTTGACTCTTGGCCTGTTACTGAGCTACTCTGAAAGAGCCCGGCTCCATCCTCCCTTCAGGTATTTATACACATTGATGAGACCTGCCCTGATCCTTCTCTTTGCCAGGCTGAACAGTTCCAGCTCTCTCAGCCTTTTCTCACTGGAGAGATCTCCAGTCCTTTCACTACCTTTGTATGCCCATATCTCTCTTGTACTGGAGAGATGCTCAGGTGCTCAGATGCCACATTTCAGGCGTGGCCTCACTGATGCCAAGTAGAAGGGAAGGATCACATCCCATCAAACAAAGCTTTTGCTTTTCTTCTCTTTTAACATCCAGTTTTTCTCTGACTTCCACCTATCAAATGATGCACTCAGCACAACCATATCTTCACTGGTTACTATTGCTTTTAAACCATAAAAACTATCTGATCTATGAAATTTATGATCAAATATTTTACTGCAAATCTTTAGATACATTAGACTCTGCAAGTTTAGAAATCTAGACAACTTTGACTCATATGTAATATTAAGAGATACCTGCATTTCTTGTAGTGAGATACATCATCTTTTTCTTTTTTTTGCTGCTTATTGTTCCACAAAAAGGCCCTAAAAATAAAAAATGATATGAACTAGCAATTTTTGTTAAATATGTTTTTCCAAAGCTTACTTATACAAATATATGAAATTTTAGATTAATTTAATATATAAGGACTATTTTAGAATTCTGTATGTTCTAAGGCAGGAGATCACATCTATTTACATACACATCAAATGGTCTAGGAAGAACTGAACACAAAGAAAAAAATATTTTCCTACAAAGCTTTGTAAAAAGCAGCAGGAAAATCCATGTTTTGTTAAGTAACTTTCAGTGCATCTAAAAATCCCATAATTTAAAAAAAGAAAAGTTAATTCTTATGCCTGTGTCCCACCTCATTCAGGTTTTCATCAGTACATGGCAAAACTGATTCAGCTTTGAATCAGTTCATCCCTGAACACTAAGCAGAGACTCTAGCCTTTGTCCTTCAATCAAAGTCAAAATATAATATTTAGCGTTTCACAATATTCTGTGTAATCTCACACAGCAGTTTTTTATTATTTCTGAAGGCAGGAAAAGCAAAACGAATGGAGCCAGAGCAAAAGCTACTCCTGAAATTCACTAAATCTCACCTGAGTTGTCCCAGTCCCTCCTAACAAAGGCCTTTCTCTTCTCTTCCAGGAACTGGCTGGGAATTAGACCTGCACTTCCTCCTTCTTTGACATGACTAGCCTGGGGGAAAAAATAATACAAAAAAATTATAACTTGTGAGAAGTACTGAGCTCATCAACATGGTGTTGACTTGACTTCCATACCACCAGAGTTTCTCAGTGGTGAATATTGACACATTTACTACTGAAATTTGGAAATTCAAACTCAGATGTGGATATTAAAATTCTCCTTTACAGGAACACTGTCTTGCCATTGAGTATTACAATTCTGGAAACTTAAATAAAATAGATACAAGTTTCGTTACTGGTTCCCATTAAGTTAGTAAGCTCCTATAGCCATAAACCTTTAGCATGAAAATATAAAATGGAATTCTATAGCTCCAGATATTGAACTCTCAGGTGACAAAACAAGATTTTCTAGTACACAGTACACTTATTTTGTCTTTTGGGCTGCTACAAACAGGTTCCAGTGCAGCTTATTAACTGTCATTTCACAGTGAATGCCATTAACACGTGCCTAACTGTGCCTTCAAACTCCTTTCACTAAGTAACTACACATTTAAAATCTTAGTAACTCAAGTATTCCTTGTAATGAAAATTTGGCTAAGATTCTCTATAAAATAATTTCATGGCAAGCTCAATTCTCAGCAAGCTTAACACGTACAAACACACAGTTCTGAAATGTTATAATTCTCCATACATCTTTCGCTTGCATAAATCTTTCATTTGCTAATAGGAAATGTTTGCTTTCCAACTTGTATGCTTTTACCTATGACTAACTCATTTTTTACAGTATGAAGTTTTCATTAACAGTCTGGCATTTCTAGAAAGCACAAGGAAAAAGTAACTTTTTTTTCCAGCGGCATGATCTGCATAGCAATACACTATAGCGATTTAATACATTTCAATTTTGCCACTGATCAAGTATTGAAGATTTATTTCTCTTGGACTCCCACAAGTTACAGCTGGAGAATTTGAAAAGCAATACAGAAGTCAGCATGGTAGCTAAATGTCAAACTACTCCAGAGTTTTGGAGTGTCTAACTTCTGAAACTAATTAAGTTGGCAGTAATAAATTTTCTGCCTTCCCTCATGCTTTTTATTCTCTTTCTGTCACTAACAAGCAACAAAATTCAGCAGGTTATTATGCATGCTCAAATATTTCTGTTGCTTTTAAAGAAGTCGCATATATTGTTCTCAAGTAATGTCTGGCTCTCTACTGCTTTTTACCTTGCAAAGGGTGAACAATGTAGGGGTAGCAAGGGAACCTAATAATGCTAACCTCTTTGACACTTCTAATTCTGAGTACCTCAGTTGAAAAAATCCTAAAGGTTCACTCGGCCCACTTTCAAAGGCACTCATGATGTTTAATTCTCTGTATAGTGTCTTGGAAAAAATCAAAATAGCAGAAGCACTGGATTACATTTCTACTAAAGGACTGAATGTAGAAATACAACCTTAAAGCAGGATGAACTGTTAATATTTGAAGTAGTGCCAAACACTAGGACTATGAACATGCATCATACAGCTCACAGACGCTGATCACCACTGTAGAAATAAAAGATACAGCTTCTCCAAATAGCTATTCTCACCCTTCTTCAAATCCATAAGATTAATTTCCCTCTTTCTCTCCTCAACTCTGAGCACTCAGGAAGGGGTCCACTTCTTCCACAGTCGCTGTCAGGGAAGGCTTACCACAATTAACATAGTCAACCTAAGACTTTTTGCTAGAAATTTTCCACTTAAACTGATTTTGGAACATCCAGGCTATGATAAAAAACAAGTAGCCCTAACAGCAAAATAAGCCTTACATATACAATTTAAAACATTTCATTTCCTCTAGTTTCAACTGTTAATATCTTGATATTAGCTTGAAACTGAATTGCAGTGTAAATATTTTTTCTTGTATCTACTGCTAAATAGAAGCAGATCACAATTTAAAGAGTTTATTATTATGGCAACTACTGATGCTTTTCAGGTTTTTATTTTATTTATTTTAATATTTTTACCAACCTGCCACCAATTCGGATCTTCCCGGTTTACAATCTGAAGAATTTCTCCTTTAGAAAATTTCAAACCTGCTTCTTTGCATGGAATGAGGTTGTCATTATATGGATTATAATCAAAATGACACTTCACAAAAACCTGAAATGTGCAAAAATTAACAAAGCTAAGACATTATAAAATACATTCTGACTAATTTATCTGTCAAACTGAAGTAATGTCTTTAACCTAGAGCATAAAAAGCTTGACATGATGAAAGTTGCATTTGACATGTAAAATACAAACTAGGGGAAAAAAGGCATATACCAGCTGAGACAGAATAATCAACAGTGCAAACCTTGGCTGAAAAAGCTTCATGATAAAAATAAAAAAAACCAACTGTTTCATTTGGACAATGTATTACAAAACACTCATTTTTGCATTTCAGTATATACAATTAGTATTCTGACTTGTAATTACTTAAAAATATAGAAAAATTCTCAGAATGTGAGCACTGAATTCAAGGCTTGCGGAATCTTAAGAATTATTTTTGCCATGAACTCAATGTTTTAAAACAGATAAGATACATGATTGCTTAAGATTCAAATTTGATGCAAGGGAAGAAACAGTAAGGTGCATCAGTCGACTGGAAACATCTTTTGACTTTTTTTGTATCAGGCTAGGGAGCAGAGGAAGCACTGCTTCGAACACAGCACATCATTCCCTCAGCCACTACTCAGTGTAAGCATAGCCTGCTACAGTCATGGGCATTAAGACCCACTGAAGGAGCATCTTAAAAGGTGTTTCAAAGGCACTGATTTAGAGCAACAAGTTACTTCTGCCATGGAGAAACTGACAGCCTGTAGCAACAAGGAAAGGATAAGGAATAGCCACCATTGAAGTTCCTATGTAAATCAGTGGGTTCAAGCTAATCTGTTGAATTCAGTATGTTCCTGAATTCCATGAAACAGATTACTTGGACGCCAAACATGTTATAAACACACCCGCAGAGTTCACTGCATGTTAGTGTGATTGTGGCTGGGTCATCAGAGGTCACTGATGTCAAAGAAACATGCTTTATATGTAATATACATTAAATTGCTCATCAATTTCAGATATGAGATTTTTTTCAGGCAGGCGTATTGGATGTAGCACATTAAGGTAATGAATAAATACATTACAAAAATGTAATTAAATTAATACAGGTATCTTTTAGCCTTCTTCCTAGCACTATACACACAAAATAATCAAACTATGTTTAATCCAAAATCTTAAAATAACCTTACATAATACAGTACCAAGAAGAAGTTCTTTTGACAGAACCATTAGAAATGTGCTACTCACCTGTTGAGGAATAACGGTGTCTCTGTAGCTGGGAAGAATCTTCAAAGTGACACTGCCACTAATGTTTTTCAGCAGTTCTTGCAATTCTTTTGGATTATTTCCAACCTCATGGCCATTCACCTCTTTAATAATGTCACCTACATGCAGAAGACCTTGTCGATCTATCATTCCTCCATGAAGAATTCGTGCTATTACCAGATCATTGTTCTCAACTCTAAATGTAACACCCTGAAAGAGAGATGTGACAACCAATTCACCACTGTTTGAATCTCAGTTTCATTTTACCATTATCTCAAGCAGAAATACACAGCTATGGGATATTCCACCTGCTCCAATGAAAACAGACAGTAACAGTTACTACAGAGTAAGAGCTCCCAATACACAGAGAAGCATCAGGTGACATAAAAGTGCTTTCAGACAGGGTTTTCATAAGACTGAAAAATGACTGTGTTGTTCTCAACTGCATGTGACCCTGCCATCTTGTCTCGGGACCAAACATGTGTTAGTCAGTTATGCTAGCAAGTCCTTCGGCCTAGTGACTGCTTATTCACTACCCTGTTATATCTTAGAGAGAGAACACATAAGTATCATTTATTTAAATCAATTTATCATTTATTTCAACCTCTCAATACAGATCTTATCACCCATTAAATTACACAACATAATAATGTAAATAATTAAAACATAATGCAAGAAATCAGGCACATGCAAACATTTTCAACTGTACTAACCTAAAGAAAAATTCTTCTTCAGTTACTTACCAGTGGTTCTCCTGCTCTTTTGTGAATTCCAAGGATACGAATAGCATCTACTGGAACAACCTGGTTGTTCACTGAAGAATTATTGACTTCTGGGCTAGAAGGAGGGGAATCGTAACATTTTGAAGCGACAATATCATGTGCTTCCAAGAGTGACTGCAAAGGAACAGAAAAGGTCTTTCTTTAAATCCTGAAATAATCATTTGCAAAAGGATTTAGTGCTGAATAATCTTTCGGGACCAGATCATAAAACTCTCACTTCACATGGAATGAAGAAAAAACTGACATCAACAGTGCTCACATGGACTGATAAGCCGACTGTCTTGTCAAATATGCTTTCTTTTGTAAATGCTGCTTCTTAAGGAAGTATAGGAGAAATGTAATTAATTTGGGAAGAATGTGTGACCTTGCCAGGGAAGAAGACAGAAAAAGGAGTACCTAAAATAGTCTTTCACCTAATGAGAAAGTATCCCAGCAAATGGTTACAGTAAATGAACAACCGACTGCAAAAAATGAAGACAGCTCATCATTTAGATACTTGTGTTTAATGTAGTAAAATTTTCCTCACCAGTAATTTGGATAATTACAGGTAAGCAAGGATTTCTAGCAATCTGCAGAATGAATGCTTCCTGCTTGCACAAAGCCAAGGCAGAATGCTAGCACCAAATGAATCCAAGTTGACAGAATTTACTTTCTGGAAGACAAGAGCTCAGACCTTATAGTTAAAAGTGTTTTCACCAGTCCACACAAATACAAAGCCAAAAGAGGAGATCGAAATAAACATCATCATGCTTGGAAGACAATGCAATTTAGGCATGACTTTCTGATAAAAGATACCTTAAGATTTAAAGAAAAGTTTCTAAGACAATACATACAGGTAAACCAAGATCGACAGTGGAGACTTTATGTCTTCCTGTCACCTTCTAGTGGAAGGTGTCCCTGCCTGTGGTGGGTCAGTTGGAATGAGGATCTTTAAAGGTCCCTTCCAACCCACACTGTTCTATGAATCTACGAGAAAAATAGGGACACCCAATAGCTATCATATACAGTAGTTCAAGCTAAAGCCCCTACAGCACAGAGAGTCACACTGACAGATACAGAGAGAAAAAAAGAAGTAAGCAGAGGAGATGCCTACTAGCCTCAAACAATGTAGCTTTGTTTCAGTGACCTGGTGAGATACAGTCTTAAATCAGCTTACTGACCGGTGTCACATAAGTAGTTAAAAAGGGAAGACACACGGGGACTGTCACTGATACGGACACGCACGTGCCAAAGGAAGACAGAGAACTACTATAAAGCAGAGCAGGCAAGTAGGTAATGTTAATGATTTTGCTATGCAGTCCACTCCATCCTTCTGTAAGCCACCTTCAAGCTAAACATTGTGTAACCACATTAGTTTAGTGCTAAGCTCAGCATACAAGCCCTCAAAGGGTCACAAACCTGAACAGTCATTTTAATCTGCCCATTACACAATGAACCTGCTGATATTTCAACTTGAGGTTAGAAGGAAGTATTAATTCACCAGTTTTGCCCCTTCCATTAAGACTGTAAAGACGGTTGCTTATTGTGGATGCTCTGATACTCTGAAATCAAATTAAATAGGAAAACCAATCATTTATTTAAATCAAGCAGCTGTCAGATGGTAGCAGTTCCTAATTCTTCACTATCCAATCCAAACCAAGAGAATAATTCTCTCTCTGCCAATGTTTGCAAGCAACATTTTTTTTGGATCTTTCTGTATTTTCAAAATGAAACCAACTAGCATCAGCTACACATTTTTTAACACATTACCACTGATAAAACCAGGTAGATACATCACCATAATAATTCCAGTTTTCTTTTGGTCATGTGCTAGAATAAATTGTTCCCAAACTTTCCAGCCGCAACCACTATACTTTTCATGAAGCCTTACACATAACTATGCTTGTACAGCTCCCTGCCCTTTAATGGTAATGCAATTTATGGATTATCATTTGATCCACAGTCAAAATGATTACTAAGCTAACAGTCTGTGTTATCCCTTTCAAATTAACGTGCTCTGTTAGATTCCTCAGTTCTTAAATCTGATCCCATTCCACATTCTGATACTTTTGAACCACTCAGTTTTATGGATCAGCAAAAAAGTCTTTTAACTACTACTTAACCATCTCTCAATCACAGGATTTTTTTTTGCTATTTCATGGCTGGGTCGCAGAAGGACTATCAGGAACTGTACACTGCTGCCCAGAACTAAAAAGTGGTTTCTTTAAGAAAAGTAGTTCATTGGTTTCCTTGCAGTCATAGTTCACTTATTATCATCCCACCCCCAACTCTCAGATCTGAAACTGAAGAATCTGTACCAGTTTTATGAGGCTGTTTCCAGCCAGCCAGGTCATGGCCTACAATCCTGAAGAACACTTAAGCACAGCCACCTGGCAACAGGGGCCATGTGTCTGTACCACTGCAGGACCCCTCACCAACTATGTCGCTAAGTTACTTTCTTATTTCAGTAACGTGGCTGAGTGATCTGAGAAATACAGTTGCATGAACTTCTCTTGTTTCTTTCTTGTGGTATTGGAAAAAGTGATATCCCGTGCCCCTGCAACTCCAGAGCTCCCCTGGAATCTGACCTTTCCATATTGGTCCTGGAACACTTATAAAACCACTGCCAAAGTCTGCAAAACAACATAGACCGAACAATTAACAACCATAAAACAGTTCAAAGTTTCCTCCATACAAAATTTCCTCCTGTAAACAGGATCAGCTGACTATCCAAGACTGGATAGCTGTAGAAAGGTTCTCATGGAAAAAAAATGGCAGTGTTGTCAGAATAAGACATTTAGAAGAGCTCTACAAAGCACAAGAGATATCACACAAAAGACACACAGTCCTGTGGCAGACAGTATGATCCCTTTATGCAAGATGTTGTCATAAAATAACCCATAAACTTAAGAGATATTGACTTCCTTACAGTAGTTTTCTGTGGCTGCACATATTCAACAGGTAAAAAAGCTATTTCAAAAGTAAGTAAAGACTCAGAGGAACGTTAAACATCCAAGGCTCTCTGCAGTGCTGAAGCCAAGTTCAAATTCAGAATTTGTTTTTCCTAAAAAAATTCTCAACACAATGTATACATGTTATGAAGCATTTTTAAAGGCTATTCTGAAAACGTGAAGAAATCATTTATGATCTTAGAGAAATCAGGTAGGCTGGTAAGGAGACAGGAATATGTGGGGGAAATAACCCTATAAATTAATATCTGTGTAGGAGGCAACTTAAGATCGCTTTTCGATATGAAACATTTTAAAGGTATGATCAGCCATTATAAACCTAACTATTAGAATAATATATTGGCTGCTTTGCAGATTAAGTATTTTATTGCCAGCAGAATCTACTATTTAGGATGAATGGCTTGCCTAATTCTTGAAAAGGTGAAAGTAACTGAAAAAGGTCTTCCATAAGCAGCAGAAGTGATTCTTCTGCATGTTTAACCACTTCAATGGTCTGCTAATTTTCAACTGCTTCCTCTTCCCTTAAGGCAACTTCTCTTACCACTCTTCTCTTCTGCTCTCCAGCCGCTGCCCCAAAGACTTGCTACAGCCTTTGCCATGTGCTGCCTGTGCCAGCTGGCTCTTCAAAACATATGGGCCAGCCATCAATACTGTGAAACTCATTAGAACTTCCACACTTTGACCCCTGAAAGGTTCAGTTAAAACTAAAAAGAGTTAAAACCAGAAGGGAAGAAAAGGAATGGAATGAAAGGAGAAACAAGAAAAGGAAGGGAAGTCAGGCAAACATAATCCTATAGCCATGCATGCACCTGTACTCCTAAGCTAGTCCTTCCCAAATGTTCTACTATAAAAATGTGTAAAAGAAATTAAGTCCTGTAATTTGATATTTTTAGCACTAAATGATACATTCAAATAAGCTATTGCAGTGATGATTTGTATACCACATTTGATACTTGTATGCTAAGGTAGGTTACAACTGTAAGGTGATGCTGTGATAAAGTGGCACCATTCATTTGTAAAATACAGAATCAACCTCTAAACCTGTTACACAATAGTGTCCATGAAACTTCAGAAGAGTCAGGGTGGTTTGTTTACACACTTACTGAACTGGAGAAAGGATACAAATGACATTTTCTATAATTGCAATTGACATTGTATTTTTCCTTTTTCCCTTCTTGCACAATTTGGAATATGCCACTTTGCACCAAATGAGGCATAAAAGAGAGCACTTATTTCTTGAGTAGTTAGGTAATTTTCTCTTTCCTTTTCAGAGAGGGAGACATATAGCTTCCCCAAGCCTTAGAAAGAATATTGTATCCACAGTTTGGTCTGCAAATTGCCCCAGAAGCTCTTCTAGAGACACCATAACTATGATATCAGTTAAATAAAAACATTTAATCAAAATAATAGTACTTCAGCCTCAGCTGGTTTTGTTGCCTGCCTCGCCATGGGTGATGGAAGCACAAAATGAAGGGCCAAAAAGTATGCTCTAATTTTAGGCTTCAAAATTGAATCACAGCAGATATACTTCAAAGTAGTTTTTTGCCTGTACACAGCAGCCAGAAGTGCTCATTGTTTCTGCAAATGATACTGAAGGCCTCACAACAGGCACTTTGAAAATATATTAAAAAAATACAAGTTAAAGCTGCTTTAGACTTTTTTTTTTTAAAGGAATTCTGACAGAGTGATTAATAGGTTAGTTCTCCAGGGCAGTATTTAACTATCTTAACCATCAAATAGTCTTTTCTCTTCCTTTCACACTTTTTTGTCCTTTCTGTGCTATCCAGGTTTTGCAGCAAATGAAGTTGGGAGCTCTAGAAATAGCGTATTGCTCTTACATACCCATGACCCACCCAGGAAGCAGCAGCATGCAATAATCATGACATGAATTTTTAAACTGGGTTCCAAGGAAGAGTCAACAAATGGCAAAACAGTAAGTCTGATGTTGATACTAAACAAATTAGAAGCTTCTATAAAAACCAGAATGACTGGACAAAATAGATCACAGGAAAGCATCAACATGCTTTAATAAAGGGAAGACATGCTTCTCAGATCTCGTCAGGTTCCTTGGAAGAGTCATTAGGCACAACAACAAGGCAGTTTAAAGTTGTTAATATAGATCCATTTCCATAAGGCCTTTGATAGAAGTCTTTTAAAGAAACAAAACTACAATAGGATAAGCAGTAAGACACTCGAGTGGAAGAAAATATCGGTTAAAAGACAGAAAAATTGGTGCCAGGAATCTAGTAGTATTAGTTTCCAGAATTCATGTCACCAGGGGATTTCCCACAGGCAGCCGTGCTCAGTCCTACACCTGTCGATACACTGATATGTCAGATAAATGATCTAGGAAACGGGGATGAGAAGTGAAATGACAGGGTCTGCTGATGCTGCTGAGCTATTCAAGGACTAAAACTACTGACTGTAACCTGCAGAGGCACCTCATGAGCAACAGAGCAAATAAATTCAATACAGACTGCAAGGGAAAACATAATCCTAGTTTAACATATTAACTGACAGACTCAGAAATGGTATCTCGGAGATGCAAACAGTACAAAACCAATCCAAGTCTAACAACCCATCCACTTCTATGTTTCTGACTCTAGAAGTACCTCTTCTTTACTGAAAGGGTGGTCAAACACTGCAACAGGCTTCGTAGAGAGGTGGCCTATGTGCCATGTCTGCCAGTGTTTAACAGACATTTGGACAACACCCTTAATAACATGATTTTTAGTCAGCCCTGAATTGGTCAGGCAGTGATTGGATGATCACTGTAGGTCCCTTCCGGATGGGATCACAAGAGAATTAACCAAAATGGATCCCAAATATACACAAATAACAGAACTATTCCAGTATTCCCAAATATTCCAAATATTCCCAAATATTCCAAATAACAGTACTATTCCAGTCTATTCATCAGCTGTTAAAAAGGCGAACCAAATACTAAGAACTTTTAGGCCATGAGTAGGAGATGCAATGGAAATTATGACACCACTTCATAAATCCACACTGTATACAGCTTTGCTTCCCTTCATTTTATGTACTTGAGACAGACAGACACAATGAGATCTCTCAAATACTGGTAACATGGAAAAGCTGATTAAGAAAAACTGTTCAACTTTCTTCCTACACAAAAGCAAGGGAATATTAAGTTAAATTGATAGGAGACAGTCTCAAAACCAAAAGAGCACAGTCTCCACTCTGATGGGGGATGCTGTGAGTGACAGACTTTCATATGGGTTCAAAAAACAACTGAAAAAAACAACTCAGAAAACAATCTCATGGAGGAGAACCATGGGTGAATGATACCACTTCTCACTCAGAAGTCTGAGCAAAAAAATTACTAAATCCTCACAAAACATTTTGGGAGGTATCACAGTTGGCTTGTCCTAGCCTTACAGTCTTCACTACGGCTGGGACAGGGAAGGAAAACAGAAGAGATGTTTGTTAAATGAACCTTTAACATGGAATCAGGAAATACTAACAAAAGATCGGAGGAAAACTGTAAAGTTAAGGTAGCAATATGCAATTTCACATCTGCTCCCATAAAGCAAACAACAAAAAACATACAAGAAACAGCATAAATACTAACATTTTAATTTGCCAGCTACTTTGGAACTTTTAGATTACCCATTTAAGTTGTTTAAGCCTGAACTAATGGAGTATTTGACACCAGCATCATGTTGTGCCTTTCTGTAAATTTGACCACTGAACAGGAGTGAATGCTGGGCTTGCCTCAGTATTGGTTATTCACTTTAAATATAATTCTTTTTTGACCTCACTCTCCTACAGGTCATTTTCAGTCTCCACCCCAAAGATCCTTTGCCCAGCTGCTTTCTGGTCTTTGCCATCTCTCTCCAGAAATCACTGCTACAGTGCCTTTCAAAGTGCAGCACTTCGATTATTATGTCCTTTTCATCTTTTGATTCATCCTCTTTAACTTTCAGCTTTGGTTTCTCTATCTAACACAATAGATCGTTGTCAAGTGTGTCACTGCACCAGTTGGCCCCCAATTCTAATCCTTTTACATTTTAATACCAGTTCCTCAAAGCTCTTCCTCTCCTATTCAAGTATCAATTTCTGCTAAGGGATCAAAAACTGATTTGCAGGTTTATTCACCAGTAAGTCTCCAAATCGTAGCCTTTGATCACTTAGCTATGATGCCTTTCTGGACAGGAGGCCAACACACTGCTCTTCAGGAGAGGCAGTGGAACTGTCATCGCTCACAAGAGCTACTACCTCAAAAGCTGAGCTCTTAAAGTGTTCCCTCTTCCAAGAGACCACAATACAGCTTCACAGTATTTCCAGTGTTTATCCATGTTACACAGTAAGGCACCTCACTGCTATGTTTGTACAGTTTGTAACTGAAAACCTAGGGAAAAAAGTGTGTTTAAACTCATATACCCCAAAAATGTCTATGACTCCATACTCGCGTGCCAAAAGAAGCTCATTTGTACTGTACAAAAGGTTTGCTTCTGTTCTTCTACGGGATACCTATAGCCAAGTACTACAGTCTGCTTAAGCCTGCCTAGAAAGGCCAGAATCTACCAAAGATTTTCAAACCCAATCTTTAAGAGTCAGTATGGCAGCTGGTCATAGAACAGCAGCTATGGAAAAACATCTGCTTTTGAAAGCACGTCAACACCTCACTTAAGCAGAGCAATAGGGAGAAGGATGCAGTGTCTGAACTTCAGCTGCAGATCAGATCACAGAAGAGTCATGTTCATTCACTCTGCAAACCGTACGTCTTACACGTGAGCTTGAGTGAGCTGAACCGAAATGCAGAATTAGCAGGAGATCACCTGGAAATGTTAAGGATGACGCCTTCAGGGAATTGTTATGAAAATTTTCATATAGAAAGTAAATGCTTGTCCGAGATTTATAACAGAAACTCCAGTAGATTATAATACAGTGAGTGAAGATATTCTTGAGGTGATATCAAAGAATAAAATCAGGCTTATTTGTAACCCCACAGGTCTTCTGCTTTACCTTTCATTCAGAGTAAAATTCTACATATTAGTTTGCTACAGGTCAGGTTTTGTTTCATTATTATTCCTAGATTCATATGTGGAGACTGATACAGTAAGTTGGTAACATACAGTAAAAAGGTGGCACCTGAAAATGAGGTTCCTTGAGTATTCCAACCAATTCTGCAATATTTTCATCTTTATTTACTAACGGACTGATGTCTTCGAGAATTTCATTCACCAGCTCCAGGTTGTTGTCACTGACAGCCTCAAGTTTAGAATCTTCCAGTCGCTCATGAGCCTGTAAGATTAAATATATGAGACTATATTGTAAATAAGTTTCAAGAGGTTCCCATCTATAAACTTTTAAAGTAATTTCTTGGTGCAACCTTCAGCAGGAAAGCCAGAAAAATTACATTTAGGACAACCTGTATATTTTATTTTTATACTGCTGAAGGATTTCGCATGCTTAACTATGTGACCCAACAAACTTCATAAGCAACACCTGTCAGAGAAGCTTGTATGTCCTCATTTCCTGTAACCTCTATATATACACCCAACAGTCCTCTCAGAACAGTATAGTGCCTCAGGATCTTTTCTGCTTCAGAACCCTGTACAAGCACACCTTCTAGAAGAAGGACAAAAAAAAGGAACTATGGGAGCTCAGAAAAAAAATAAACTCTTTAGGAGAAGCATTTACCCTAGACTCCTCCCATTGAAACACCTTCAAAACAGCACATTCTAAAGGAAACCCTCCATAACTAAAGGAAATGCTACAGAAAAGTCTGTGGTAAAGGCAGCTAACAGCATCCTGGGCTGCATTAAGAGGAATGTTACCAGAAGTGGGAGTGTTACTCAGCACTGGTGAGGCCATGCATGGAATACTGTGTACAGTTCTGGACATACTGGAGAGAGCCCAGTGAAGGGCCACAAATATGATGAAGGGCCCGCAGCACCTCACATTTGAGGAAAGGCGAATGTTCAGCCTGGAGAAGAGAAGGCTCAGGGTGATCTCATCTATGTGTAAAAGTACCTGCAGGTACCTGCAAAAAAGACTGAGCCAGGCTCTTTTCAGTGGTGTCCAGCAACAGGACAGGAGGCAGGGGACACAAACTGAAAGACAGGAGCCTCTGTCTGAGTATCAGGAAACACTTTTGCCACTGTGAGGGTGACTGAGCACTGGCACAGGTTGCCCAGAGAGGATGGAGTCTCACTCCTCGGAGATACTCAAAAGCTGTCTGAATGTGGTCCTGGGCAACCAGGAGGTCCTGCTTGAGAAGGCAGGTGGACCAGATGACCTCCAGAGGGTCCCTTCCAACCTCAGCTATGCTGTGATTCTTTGACAACTTTTCATCTATTTCTAGAGCTATTCCTGCAGACATAATCCTTTCCTAAACACTGCAGATACTGAAATTCATTTAAAGGTAGGAGCTTTAAACAGCAAGAGAAACATCTCATAAATCTGAATACTTCACTAACTTATTACAGGTAGTGCTGTATCATAGAATTAGGGGAAAAGGAGGAGGCCAAAAATAACTGATTCTCAACTCAATTAAGAGTTATTTCCAACACCATAGCAACAAGAAATTTAAAAAAGAGCAATCACTTTGGCATATAAAAAACAAATAGCAGATATAATTGAGATTCACCCATATATACTTCCCATATATATAATTTGAAGGTATTCACGCACTTCTACTTTCTGATTAGCACTTTAAAACAGACCTTAAAATAAAATTTTGCTAAAGTGAGAAAACTTTGTTTCCTGAAATGATCTGAATATTAAATTCTACTTTGTATCTATAAAATGGTATTTCTGCCAGACTGATGATCAAACTCTGGAAAGGCTAACTTAACATAAAGACATTTCAAACATTCCCCAACACCAACACACACAAACCAAATCACTGTGATTACAAAGCATAGGAAGCTTGGCACCTACACACATTCTTCTTAATAAGGGAATGCTATTTTGTACATAATACATACAGTAAACAATATCCTTCTTTTAAAGTTTACTTCTTTTACAGCAAGTAAAAATACATATCTTATGACTTTTAAACATAATCCAACTGCAAAACCTTTATGATATTAGAGAATATGGGTTATCTTATTTCTCATATATTCATTTTAAAATACTACCACTAAGTATAATTTAAATACAAATATCCTAACCCTTTACTCCAAAATAAAGGCCATGTATATAGTAGGGAAAAGGAAGTTTTATCAGTGAACAACCTCTGATCCTGTAATATATTGAGGAGTAGCAGGATACAGAGTGGTATGAATAATTTAAAAAACCAACAGACAAACAGGAATACCTAACTTAGATACTGCAATTCTTTTTTCATTTCAATTCATCGTTTCAGAAACAGTGATACTGAATTGAGTCTTTCGGTGCATTCGATATTTATTAGACTTGCCAAATGTTCAAATAGTAAGGCTTTTACCTCCAACAATACGACATCCTAAATACTGGACTCAAATTTTATAGATTATTCCTAAGATGTTTCCTTGGTCTGAGTTAGGCATTGTGCTGGTATGCTGCAGGCATACAATGCTAAAAGCAATAGTGTGACTGCAGAAAGAAGATAAAAGTTTTGAGGTTTGAAAGAATAGTTAACAACCCAGGAGAAGAGAATTCTGATAAGACAGTTCAGTAGCAAAACTGAGTAAACTTCATGCACGTTCCAAGCTCAACATCTATTTTCCAAAAAGTATAATAATTCTAAAGGCTAGTTAGGATTGAACACAAATGTCAGCACAGGAGTTGAGGTTGTTAAGTGTGGAGAAGATCCAATTGCAGTGTTTCAATATTTAAAGGGGGCTTATAAGAAAGATGGGAAAAATTTTTCTAGTAGGGCCCACAGAGATAGGATGAGGCATAATGATTTAAAACTAAAAGAGGGCAGACTGAGCTCAGATATAACAAAGATAGTTTTTAGAATGAGTGTGGTGAAACACTGCAACAGGTTGCCCAGAGAAAGGTTGCAGACACTCCATCCCTGGAAACATTCAAGGTCAGGCTGGACTGGGCCCTGAGCAACCTGATCTAGTTGAAGATGCCCCTGCTCACTGCACGGGGGTTGGACTAGCTGACCTTTAAGGGTCCCTTCCAACCCAAACTACTGTATGATTCTATAAACATCAGTAAGTAACAGGAAAAAACATTTTACAATGATTACAGTTACTTCCCCTTTCTCCTACTACCTACGAAAAAATGGAAAGATACCATCAAAGAACCTTATCCCCAAAAAGATCTGTAATTTCTACCCCGATGCCTTTATTCTACACAGAAAAAGTGTGAAATGAACTTAACCCAGTTTCAAAAGATCACCCATGCTTTGCACTGCAAAATATTATAAACTAACTACTATGCTTATTGCTTATCTTCATTTTTTAAGGACTGAAAAGAAAAAATAAGTTTGTATGACCTGTGGCCAATTTCCCTAAGTTTCTTTTTGTCCTTTATGGTATAATTTACATAACGATTAGCCTTAATAACTGGCTAATAAAGGAAAATGAAAACAGTTCTGGCCTGCTTTGAAATTATTCTGTTTAAATAGTGTGGTCATCTCAGGGTTCTGAGAATTGCTGTATACTGTTAAAACTAGCTCTTTTAATAGAAAAACAAGCCTATATATTTTTAGGGACAAACGGATATTTGGGACAATGGATATTAGGGACAAATGGATATCATACAAATGTATGAACTACACACACTTCATGAAATGTGTTTTGAACTTACCCTTATTTAGTTCTAATGGCTAAGACTGAGATATTTTCCAAAATAATTACAAAAGAAATATGAGTGTGGTCGTGCCATGTGAACACAATTTAAACCTTTCAGCATTCTATATAAAGCATGTGTACAGTTAAGAATCTGTTTCCATTACAAGCACTTTTTTTACATCTGCTAGTCATTAAATTCCACATAATTGTAATTGGCCATTAAAGCACAAATTCTTGACAGGAAAAAACTTTGCAATGAACATTTTCTTCAGGATAAATATTAAATTAAAGATGACCTATGGAGCAGATACTTAATGAGTTGTTTCCAACTTCAGCAAGAAAATGCTTTTACTTACTCTAGTAAATTTAGTACAAAATCTTTCCCTCCACAGTCATTTCACCAGCAGATGAGGCACTTCTATTACTTCTCAGTTTATTACTATGCAATGTCTTTGACTCAAAACCATTTTTTCTGAACAGCTTAACAGAAGTAAATTCTTCTATGAATTCTCATGGGAAGTTTTCCTTTCCAGATTTTTATACTGAACAAAATCCCTGCACAACAATCCTTTAGCTTTACAGAGTATTTCACACCTGCCCAGAGGGCATTGCTTTCAGATGTCTATTCCTATTAAAGACACAGCTGCATTTAAGTTAACTGTGTTTTCCTCATGAAAGGAGCTTATTTTTATGAAATAAAATTAAGAAAGAATGTAAGTGCTGTACAATATTTGACTGCATTTCCTATTGGTAAGATCACCTACATTTTAATTACAGAGCCCCAAGATTTTTTGCAAATATCACCTTACGTATTCATAATTGATTGCTACCATCTATAAATAAAAGATATTTGTAACCCAAGACCAAAACTAAGGATAGTTGATGTCTCAGAGAGCTGACAATCAAAGGTAACAGCATTATTCTGAGATCCAGGAAAGGGCATGAAGACAATATTTTCCTGGGCTGATCAGAAAGTAGTTTTGAGCTAAAGACAAAAAGAAAACTTGTTTACGCCACGGGAGAAGGAAGGTTACTGCTCTCACTTTTCATCTTTGGCAAAAATGCTAGAAATCAGAGGGCATATGGGTTTTGCACACAACAGTGGTTACAAGACTACATTAAAATTGACTGAGTCTAATTTCAAGTATTTTGACTTTTTTTCATAAATAATGTAACCACATTATTTCTGTAGTCTCTGAATTCTTCTTCTTTCTCTAGAATCTTACATATAACAATTAATCAGCATGCACAGAAATTATACTATACCAAATCTTCACCTTCAAGCTTGCCTTCTATTCTTTTAATAAGACATACCATACATGAAAGCCATTAACACCTCAATCCATACTCAATGTTCACACAATAATTTAAGAGTGAAAATATTTCCAGATTCTACTCAAAGCAGCAAGTTTAAATACCTTAGCAAGTGATCTTACGATAGGGTTTTCCATAATTCCTTTCAGAAAAATCAGGTCTATCTCTTCAGCGCCTGTTGATGTCGGCAGATCGGTAAGGTTGTCTAAGACCTGCTGCATGGCTGCTGACAAAACAAAAACAAAGAGTAAGTACTGACCAAAACAGGCTTCCATGAGGAGCAAAAGCTCTGGGAAACACCACAATATTAACTTTATAGATATTAAGCAGTCAAATACATCTCCTGAGAACAAAGGAACAGAATAGAAAAAGATCTTTTTTGTGTGTGTTTGACAGATGGAAATAAAGGATCTATCCAAACCCTGACCACCACATCAACTTAAACCCAGGCCTGGCACATTCCTTTCAAGACTCGCTACCACTTAAAGGTGGAAAAAACCAAACAAGTACAAACTATGTACAAGGTAAGCATAATCTTCCAAATACAATAAAAGCAACTCATTCACTACTCTTCTCATTTAATCCCTCTCTCAGAAGAAGTTTCCAGACCTTATACCTACACCAGCCAACTACAAGTTTTACAATGCTTGTATAGGCAGATTCATTGTTATTGAAATAATTTTTTTTTAAACCAAAAATTTGCTTCCAAGGCAGCTCTTACCTTGGGGACCCTTGTGTCCATCCCCACCAGTCCTTTACAACCAGTTCTGACTGGCACTAAGTGCAGATGCTAACACCAACCTGGTCCCACAGAACACTGCAATGGGAAGGATATCCTACAATGAGAAATGTATTGTGCCTGCCCAGTACCCTCAGTGGAGATTTTCCTGGCTATCAACAGACTTGCAGAGAGAACTGCAGCAGCTTGGGCGAGAATGAACAATATTGCCCAAGAAAAAGCCAGAAAATCCCACCATCCCAGCTGTCTTGTCCTAAGAAGAATTTGTTCTTGTTTTTAACTGCAGTTACATATACATGATCAGACACACAGACAGGTATACTAACAAAATCTCCTGTTGAGATCCCCAAGAAGATAAAAAGCCCTGGAACAACCACTGTGTTCTGCAATGCTCTGCATGTTGCAGAGCTGTATATACCAAGTGAATTAGAAAAGCTTATATGCCCCTTCTCCCACACAGGAATTTACCCTTAACTTTCCTCATTGCTTTATAATGAAAGCTATTATGAAACACTGCACAGTAACAGAACAAACAGCATTTCTAAACACCTACTTTCTGATTTCAATTCTTCCTAGAAAATTCCATCACGAGAAAAAAAATTCTGGCCATTCTTTCTGTCAAGTGGAACTGACTTTTCAATCAAATCATCTCATGTGTCACATTTTAAGTACAGCAGTGCATGTCAAAAGACTGCATTATTTTAAACGTGTTTTAGCCATACTTCTCGCTTCCAAAAAGTGAATTTTCTGTGAAACCATGAGTAGGAGGGAAAATGACACTTTATGCTTTCAGATTTTGAAGCAGTATTATTTCTACTTTATAACAAAGTGCTGTCAGCAATCACACATTACGTAAAGTCACTAAATTGCTTTGTAAACAGTCACAACTTCCTCAGACTAGGTATGTCCCACATCTTGACTAGTTCAGCTGCACATGCAATTGCCTTGTTTCATGTTTTCTCAGTTTCCAATTACAGACTCTTACTGTATAAGTCATGCAAGCTATAATATCTGCAGAAGTAGACAGATGTTTCTCATGAATTTACGTCATGTGTCAGGTGCTGCATAATACTGTGTTATAATAATAAGCTTTCTTTACATTTCTAACAGTTATGTAAACTGCTTCTAAAGGATTTCAGGTTAGCCTTTTGCTCCTATAAATAATCAGAGAAAATATAAAACTTCCTTCAGGACAAAGCATTCATCTCAACTGCCAGTTGCAATTCCGACACTTGATGGTGACAAAGGCATGCATAATACAGACATTCTTTACACATCTCCACGATAATAGGCTGTTTCTTACTTAAATCTTTCAGAATTCTGCCTATCTTAGAAAGATCAAATTAAAAAATAAAGTCCCTACATAAAAACTTTATAATCAATGATAAACTGTTAAGAGCAATATTAAGTTTCTTAAGAATGTCTTTCAACCTTTGTACAAGTACACTGGGTATTTTCAGAATAATATTTTATTTAATAAAGGTTTCACAAACATCTAGCATCAGAACTACTTAACTATATTTCGGCATTTTTGGAAAACAGTAACCAGCTTTATCAACATTCAGAGTTTAAAAAATCCACAAAGGCAGACTTGCATCCCAGGTCATCAAAACCCAAATCAGCTGTTTTCGGGAATATCTTCTTATTGCTTTGTGTCTGATGGTTGCCTTCTCTCATGGTACAGCCATAATGGCAAGAGTCTTCTTAGCTATCAGTACTGTTGCCTCAATATTAGAAAGTAAAACAAAGAAGCAGGAATAAGCAAATTGGTTACTTAAAGGTAACTCATTTACTCATCCTCGATTGCTTATGTTTAACACAGCAGGAGGCTCCCAATTGCCTCAGGATAGCTAATGTCCCATCTTAAAGGGAAGATCTTTCCCAGTAGTTGAATAAAAAAAATACTACTGTTAAGTACCCCTTTATTTTAGCCAGCTACAATGTTAAGCAAGAAATTTTTAAGAGAGAAAGCCTGACCTTCAACAAAGTCTTTGCACCTCTTACCTAGCACATGGTAGGCAGAGGAACATTTATATGCTTCACTGCTTTACATTCACCTGGCAAAAAAATTCAGAACATGATCAAATGTTATTTTTCAAAAAGTCACCAAGAGCATTTTCCAACAGGAATTATGTCAGCTGGTTTATATAAGAGGAATAGGCAACAAATACATGAGTACTTTTTGTGACAGACTAGACTAAGCATTTTAATTTCAGTGTTTTACATTTATTATGCAAGTCATAGTTCCCATTTAATGTGAAATGCTAATATTTGCTTACATGTGAAAATAACTTTGAAAGTCTAAGCAACGTACTGACCTACATATGCCTTAGATATTCATACATGTACTTTCAAACAATTTGATTTATCCAAAAACTATTTAAGGGCAGAGAAGGGAGGAGGTGAAGACACTTTGGGAAATGTATTATGGGCCCTCTTCTTGTGTATCTATTCAAAAGGCTTTTGTTTATTCATTTCTAGGGAAAAAAGATCTTATTAAAAAACAAACAGTGGGAGATATGTTGTTTCCAGGCTTAATTATAATGATCTTTCAGAATAATGTATACACACAAGGAATTTCAAGTAGCAGTCTTTTAAACTATTTCACTCTTTTCTTTCTGGGGTAAAGCCACCTTAGCACTTATTTTTGAGGAGCAGGAATGAAAGCTACATTTTACTTAAAAGATCAGGTCCTATCAAGCAAGAAACAGATGGAACTGAGGAGTTTAGAAACTACCAAATCTAAATACTCCATCAAAAACTGCCTTTTGAGCCTCACATCTCTTTTGTGGCAAATCCACCCTTGAAATGTTGACAGAAGTTACTCACTGGGGGAGTAGAAAGCCCTGTAGAATAAGGACTACATGAACAAACTGCATAAACCAGGTTGGCAGAAGTGCTCCTTGTTGTTGAATGCTTTGGTGTCCAATTAAAAGCTTTTTCTTCAGTGGAAAATTAATTGGGTCTCTCTTGCCCCATCATTTAGAGAAAACTAAGAACATACTAACTTTGAGAGCTCTACCATGCATCTCCTTCTCTCTCTGAAGACAAGCCTTCTTCTATATTCAAAGACCCATTTGCATAAAACTTTAAAGTCTCCTCACAAAACAAGAGGATTTGCTTTTTGAGGACAGTATGAGATAGGCGATGTTGACTACAGACCATCTAGGAACACAGGCATTACAAGAAACACACACTGACACAGCCTCCAGACACAACAGGATGAACCCAGCAGCAAAAACAGGCTCTCAGCTGAGGCACGGTGTTGAAATTAATCGATTCTTAGGAAACAGTGACAATAAAACTGAGTCTGACTTAGGATTCCTAAGAGAAAATGAGATTACAATGGGCCCCTCTCCACTCCAGCCCCTGGCTCTGATGACAGGGAACACACACAAACGCAGAATTAATTTCCACAGTCAATTTTCAAAGAACATTTTCATAACCATAGCAAGTTTAAAGCCTCAAGCAAGACTCAGCAGGAGCTACTGGTCTGCTGTGTACATGCACTGAACAATTTAATCCACTATGCACAGGACCCCATACTTGGGGAAACTAGTTTGTCAATTGTACCCCATATCAAAAAGGTAAAAGGGGGGAAGACATGTTAATTATCTCTGTGGCAAACAGCATGCATCCTGAGGCACAAGAATACAGAAATCCCACTTCCTAATGCAAAATTTACTAACCATAATTAACTCCTCCTAATTCACAAAGAGCTCTTCAGACAACCAAAGGATGCTTCAAAGGTTTAATCTACACACTGTACTTTACAATAGTAAATTCAGATCAAACAGAAGTAAAAGATCCTAAGATAACTCTTCTCTTCCTGTATTTGTAAGAAAAAGACAGGTTTTCACCAAGCTCTCAACTGTGATTCTTCTATCAAATTTGATTTTACTCTTTCTTTCAGTGCCTAATTCTCGTCTATATTAATTCTATGTAAAGGAAAGAGGAAGCATACATTTAAATAAATTTTCCAGATTTGCAGACAGAAGACAAATGTGTCACTCACTGGGGAAAATTAAAGCTTTCCAGAGTGAATACCTTGCACAGATTTTTTTAGCTCAGTTTCATTTTATTAGTCTCCAAGCTTACAAAATAACAGGAATGAAAAGAAAATTATGTATAATATATTTAAATAAACATGCATATTTATTTCCACATGGCCTACTCATCTGGCTAGGAAGGTATAATAAATACCTCAAGGACTATTGGTGAGGCAGATGCATCACACACAGTCTAGGAAATTAGATTAAAACCTGATCACATACAGAAACTTTGGAAATAGTTTCTTGTGTGACTTAAAACCTTTTCAAGCGGGATATATCAAAAAGAAAAGTTTCACAAGACACCAAATAAGCTCAGACAAAAGAAAATTAATTTGTAACTTCTCTAGCCCTTAACCAATGAAAACACTAACTTTTTCCCATTTGCATTCATGGTTTTAAAATAACGGATTTATGCTTTAAAATAAGGCAAAAAAAAAAAAAAAGCTATTTTGTGTTGGCCACTTCTCTCCCCAGTTATAAAGTATAGTATTTTTGGCAATCTAGAAAAAGAGTACCTATGGATGAGGTAACATTTTGAGAACATGTAACAAATTCATTCACTAACAGACTATTGACCGAGAGTGTATGAAACACTAACAAAGCTGTCTGTTACTACTGCTAGAAACCAGATTTTAACATAAGTCTCTGGGAAAGCATTATGCAGTGAGGACATACAACATTATGTTTGTGTTTTCACAGCCAGCAGCTGTATCCACTGAGCAGAGATCACATTCAGCAACTGCTCCAGAGAAGCACTACAGAAGTGATGGACCACTGCAGCTCAGCTCCTCTGCTTCTCCTTATAGGGTACAAATTAGTTACACCTAATCCCACACACCTTGCTGACTGTAGTAGGGTACAACAGCACTTGGGCTCTCAAGCATCCACAGACTTTGCATCTACTATTTGACAGTGTTGGGCCAGTGCCACTCCAGCCCTGCAGCCAGCCACCTTAACTCAGACATTCCTGGGCAGCAGTCCACTGTAACAGGCACCTTTTCCAAACAGGACCCCTTCCTCATGCAGTAAATACAGTACATCTCTAGAAAGACAATAAGATTGCTTATTGAAGGAAGTTGTCTGCAGCATGCACACTGTACTGACTGCATAATCACATACGGCAATGAATTTGCAAAGGAAGAAGGAAAGTCTAATTGATAAGGATGAGTGTTCTGGATATTCAAATTCTGCCCACTGAATTTTCGCATGTTGAAAAGAAATAACATAAATGCTTAGAAATGTTTGCTAATCTTTTTAGTTCATTTTTTCCAAGTCTACTGGCAACCAAGATGGAGCTATTTTAGCATAGCTATAAATAGAAGCTCGAGCAGTTCCTACCCTTATCAAACCTGGCTCAATCTTACAAGCCCACTTTTCATGACTGTGAAGGTCACAAAAGCTGTGGGGAAGAGCGAACAACCCTTTCTCATCCTGAACACTGCAGACATACTTCTTTCAGGCTGTGAAGTTTGTCTAAAAAAAGAAGAAGCAAAAATTTTCTGATGAACAGATGGACCACACAGCTGCATCTTTTGGAAAGAAAAGCTCTATTTAAAAATTATCTCAGCAAAGATAAAAAGGGAACAAAGCATCACAACTCCAAAATCAGCAGAATTAAAAGGTTAAGTATTATTTGAATACATATATCATGACAAACAATAAGATATTGATAAGAGATACACTAAAATCCAGTATTGCAGAAATTGTTAGACTTCTTTTTCTTAAAGGATTGCAAAGAAAAATATTTCATAAAGTATAAAGACAATTAACTTGATGCTCACTAAGCTTGATGCTTTGAAGATAAGCCTATACAGGTGTTAAGTATTACCACATTTTCTGACTTTTTTTAATGAGAGGAAGACTGATGCAAGCCTCAGGCACAGATGTGATTAACTGAGGAAGCACACACATGCATACACACACAAGTGTGCAGAATATAGAAGGCATTTAGTGCAAAATCTTCTTTCATTTTAGCTATGGATGTTAGGAAAGTATATGATGATGTCACACAAAAACTACTGTACTTTAAATGAATACTAGGACATGCCCCAGGAGAAATTTCAATTTTGCTGAAGAAAGACTGTACTACCCTTAGTTCTCCAATTACTTTAGTAGTTCAAGTACTGGAGAATATTTTAAAACAGATTTTTAAATGAAGGCAAAACACATTCAGTGGATACGCAGTTTAAGATACTACTTTGTACTCAAAATTTTAGTACAAATTCAACAAAGTTTCAGGATGTATCCTGCACTCCACTAGACATAGAGTAGGCTGAGCTTATTGCATCACATCAATCATCCTCCCTACTATTTGCAAGCAGCAGCTGGATGAAGAAACTTGTATTCTCTGCAGTCACTCTGGTAATCAATGCCAGTATTTATGAAGTCCAAAATGCCAGCAAAACAGATGCAACAAAGCAAGTACATCTTTTGAAGTATTTCTTCCTCTAATGTGCACCCTTCCAAATTAATCAAAGCTTTGTATCTCTATATTTCTGCCACAGGACTCAAAATTATTTATCTGTTGCAGGAGGACAGAGCCTGAAGATAGCAAAACTGACAAAATACTAACATAAGTAAAGACCACAGTTACCCACAGGAACAAGTTTTGTGTAACAAACAAACAAAAACAAACAAACAAAATATCAGTTTATTATACCACTTTTCTTGGTGGAAAACTTGAGGCAAAGCCATGCAGAACTATCTATACAGTTTCATTCCATTAAAAAATTCAAGCCCGGGCCAACTAAAACTCAAATAATTTCTTCCTCAATTAGATCCCTTCTTCACACATGTCCAAAAACTAGACCTGAAGAGAAAAGAATGAACACCCTTCCAAAGGGAAGCAGAATTCCACTCCAACTGTTACATCCTTGCAACTTGTTGCTGGCCTCCAATCAACACGGTCTTAGTGCATAAAGGCAGGCTGTATGTTGGCCCCACTTCTGAGACCAGGCACCAACAGCAACTGGTTCAAGTTCTGCTATGAACATGTTTTTTCAACCATCTGCACTTTCAGCTGGGCAAGCATAGTCAAAGAAGAAAGCTAAAATTCACAAGGGTTGTAACATACTCTACTGTCTGTGTAGATGTCATGGTTCAGAACATTACTTATAGAAGTATTTTATAATGTGGTTTGTGCACATCTGCAAACAAGACAATGTACTTTTAATAAACAAAATTAGATATTCCACTGTATAGTAAAGTAACAACACTGTGCACCTCCAGAGACCTATGAGGAATTTGATTACCAGAGATGTTGCTGATTCCACTGTCACTTGCATCTCAGGGGTACTTGTATCCTTCAATCTGAAAGGACTTGATCACTCAACAGACTCTCAGGAGGATACCATTAAAAACAATCCACACTTCAGATACCTGGGTGTTTCCTTAATCTTGGTAATCTAGGAAATCTAGCTTTAACAATTCTTTTTGGTTCCTGTTCCCAAACCAATTTTTTTTATATCTCAGTTCTCATTCTTCTAACCTAAAGAGGGCAATTTTCTGCCCTACAGAGGACAACTTCTCCACTCCTATACTGACCAGGAAAGAAGCAAGCCTAGCATGACTTCCCTGTACCTCTTCCACTATGCACCTTTTTTCAATACAGTCAGAACTGTGCAAAATATTTTAGACGAGAGTCTCATGAGTGCCTTGCCCAGCACTCGAAATCTTCCCTTTCTACTGAGACAGACAGATAATAAGATCTATTTTGTCCTTCTTAGAGTTATATCATACTGTCAAGCTTAATCTCCTGGTCTGTCACAAAACAGTATAAAACATCATTTTGAACCTCACTCTTCTCCAAACCTGACACTTGTAGCTGAACAAAGTGTCTTCTTTCTTCAGTGAAAACACTACAAGTATATTTTGTCCACTACTGTTACTCTAGGCTTCAAATCAGTTCTTGGCACTTTGGTTTTGATCCTCTTTTGCTTTAGTGAAAATGCTTCGACAACAAAATCCACCAGAAACCACACATCATCCAGATACTACTGTTGCTTTAAACACAACTTCCTTCTACAGCTTTATGTGTAGGAGCCATTGAGGAATTCTAACAATAAGGAATTTTATGATGAAGAGTTTTGATATCAAGTGAAGCAAGGCTGTATTATAACACATTCTCAGACTTATTTCATAACAACAGCAGAATGCTTTTCTAAATGAAAGCATCCAAACACAGCACTTTCAGAATCTGATTGCTCCATTATGATTCAGCCACTTCAAAAACTACACCTATGCCCTTTTAACACATCACACCCATATATTAACATTTCATGCATGCCCTATTTCAGGCTTCTGCTCCTGTGAAGTACTTATTAAATTATCCTTTTCAACCCAAAACACTGGAGTATTTAAATTAGATACATATCAATGCATGCCAAAAAATATTTCTGAGATTCTATTATAGATGCTACACAAACATTTGAAAACTGCTCAATAAATGTAGATGCAGAAAACAGAAATATGAGACAGCTTTTTGGAGCACAAAATAAATTAAAGCACTTTACAAAATATTTAGACTATTTCAACATATTCTTTAATAAAGAATGAAAAATATATTTGATTATATCTAGCCCATTTTACTATAGAGGGAAGAAGACCCACCATACAGAACTTCCATAGGGAAGTTTTCAGTTAATTCAGAATCAACTTAATTTCATCCGATTTTCCGCTGCATCCCAGTTTGAAGGTGAAAATTTAAGACAGGAGTGAATCTACAAAATTTATAAATTTTAAATTCAATTATCTCTGTCCCAGGACCTCAGTTTTCAATTTTACATGATTATTTTCCAGGAGTTTCACTTGTAGTTCATCCCTAAGCTCTAATGCTCCCACTTCCACTAAACTAATCTCTCTCAAGCAAGCACTCCCCATCTCTGTCCAAACAAACTTAATAGGAAGCAATAAAAGCAATTTGCTAAATTAATGATGTTATAGTTCAGGGTGACTTGCGAAAGGAAAAGAGAAAAATGTTTACTCTGCTACCCTTGTCATATGACACAGTTCTTGTTTATTCTAAGGACACAGCTAAAGCTTTACCTAAAAAGAAAATTTCCAAAACACACTTGGAATGTTAGCAGTGATGTAGTAGACATAAAATGGCTTTTCCAAATTTGTTTGCAGAACAACACTGCTGATGTTTCTAAATAATGGAAAAAATACCACATAAAACCTTTGTAATTTAACACAGAGATGGCAAAACATGATGGCTTGTTAAAGGTTTACTGACCTGTAGGAATGCCCAAAACACATCTCTGTCCTTCCCTAGTTAAGAGACTTTATTCTAAACTTTTCTTTCAATTTAATGCAGTTGAGATTTACACAATTGCATATTCTTTATCCTCAGCAGTCACTTCCTTTAGTCCTTTGAAGGGTATGTTCCAGAACCCTGGAAAAGGAATGAAAAGATCACCTTGACACTCGTATTTTGAAGGGAACTGAAAAACTCCATGCAGTAAGTCACACTGCCCTTAGTCTTGTATTTCACCTTCTGAACTACTTCTGCACATTATGCTATCAGGATTTATTTACGATTGCAAATGCTTAATGAGAAGTGGGAAATCTAATTTCAATTTAATAATATCTCGGCACAATAACAAGGGGGGAAAGTTTTTTCTAGTGGTCTCAGGGCAGCTTGCATTAAGAACTACATGTTTTTAAGGAAATTGCCACTTTGAATGTTCACCACCTTCACTCTAAAGCCAATTTCCCAATCACTGCCGTAACCCCTGAATGACACTTTTCTGTGTGTATAAGGTGGGCACAGGGAGTGAAACTGCAAAGGGTATCTTCTAAATGGCACATGATGCATACTGACATGTTGGAAATTTTCTACTCCATCCCCTCAGAATACCAAGTTTGGTTTCATTAAGTTTTGCCTAGGAACTTCTGAATTTTTAGTCATGTACCTTGTCACCTCAACTGAAGTTCTCAACCAGAGAACTTTTAAGTAAAGGCTTACAGTGAATAACTTTTGGCCAAATAGTTACAATTTTTCTAATTACACAATGAGTTTTAAACATTGTTCCATTCCACTGTTTCTTTGGAAAGCCTTGGCTGCCTTTGAGTTTCACATTGCCCACCAGGAATCTCACTTCAGTTTATTTCTCTTCCCTGATAGCAGTAATTATTCAAGTATATAGTTCCACTCACTCACTTTACACAAATCACTCGATTACTGTTGCACAAGCCAAGCACTGCACATTTTCAGTTCAAATGTTTTCTTTTCTTTTTTTTTCCCAAAAGAAGTACTGACAAATGTAAAGACAGCTGAACTTTTCTTCTTGGACAAGAAGAAACTCAGTGAAGAATCATGTCTGTCGAGGCTTTTTATCATTTTCTGAGACAGGCAAATTGCTGTAAATCTGGAAGTAGAGATGTCTAAAACTACAACTTTTGCTTATTACATGATGTCTTTTACAATGTCTTCTCTTGTAAAAATAAGGTCATGATGGAACTTGGCTTTTTGACCGCATCTGAACCATGAGAAAGTCTACAGAGGGGAAAAAAAAATGAAAAAGTTTTAAGATAACGTCTTTCTTGACTTTAAACTGCAATTGCTGCTTCTTAAAAGCAGCTCATATACATCCTCATACACTCTCTTCAAATCTATTTATGCTGAAGCAATAAAGGCCACGTTATCTTGGCTTTCACTCAAGTCCCCTTGTTTTGTTGTTTCCTCAGACTGCTTAGGGGTCTCAGAGAAAGGGATGGGAGAAGAGAAGAGCAGAAGATACAAGTACAAGCAAGAACCTCACTGGTTTTTGACAACAGAACCTCTCAGATTCACACAAGTTGTGAGGCCCAGTTACCTGGGTATCAGCAGCCAGAACCACTTACTAATACCATCAACAGAAAAGAGCTGGAAAGGACTCCTTAAATAGCCTATTAAAGTCCTCCCATGAACAATCAGAAATGGTAGGTTAGGGACCCTGATTCTCTGTCCCCAGCTTTGGAATTTCATTGCAATACATAAATAATTCCATGTTTCAGCTTTTCCACAAGAGGGTTTTATGAAGTCTGGGTCCTGACCTGGAAAAGAGCAATTGCTTTGCCAACCACCTTCAGCATGGCAGTTGAGAGGACTGCCTCCTCACACTCTGTGAGTTCTCAGAGCAGTCAGTCCCATTCATGGTAGTTTCTGTTTATTATACTCCCCACTAAATTCCTCTTTCCCAGAAGAGTATTGGCCCTGAGAGCAATATAAAAGGAGAGCAGTGTAACCTCCTACAGATAAATTGGTTCTTTGGACACAACTAGCTTTAAGACTGTGGAATAATTTAACATGAAATTACCCACAAGTTCCCAAGAAAACTTGAAAGGGCAACGACGTCTTTTTCCATAATGCTAAGATACAATGCTCCCTGGGTGTTACAAGGTCAAAACCACATTAATGACATTCATAACTTATGGCAACAAAGAAAACAAGTCCTATCTCAGCAGAGAGGTTACGCAGCGCACAAGGTAACAAGAAACAGATGGAGTAGTCACTGTCTCGTGCAAATTTGGCACTGAAGTCAAATGGTCCCATTCTTCCTTAGAATTTTGAAAGGTCTGAAACAAAACATAGCCTAAGAATGCATTTTCAGAAAATGTAAATTCATCTTTGTAGAAAGGAAATTAATCTGTTCAATTATTTTTCAAATAATCAACTGTATTTCTTTTGTTTTCCACTACACTGTTCCTGAAGACATGCCCAAAACCCAAATGAAATCTTGATTTTGCTTCAAGTATTCAGAAACCCTGGTTGTTAACATGGCCCCCAGCAGACCTGTAAACATTCCACTTGTCATGTGGTTCAGGAACAAGTCCTACACTCAGGACAGAATCTAGCTGACTCTCTCTACTCAAAGAGCAGCTGATATTTTTAAGTACCCAGGCTTGCACTTCCCTAAATCAACAGAACCTGATAGCTCAGCTACATGCATCCTACCAGTTAGCTACAAGTCCGTGCTAAGCTGCAAGGTCACATGCTAGACTTTAGCTTGGTTTTTGGTCCAGTGATGAGGGAAAAGTAGGTTGAACAAACAGATCTAATAAAGTAAACCCCATGCAGGTAGACTGCCAGAACATCCATCCCTGGACAGATCCAGTGGCACAATAACAAAGGCACAAACCCAGCAGCCTGGCAAGCAACCACTGGATTGCAGGTCTACCTGCTATCATCAATCTGCACGTAGAGAGATGCATTAGAAGCATCAGATCTTCATGTTGAAACTCCCTTTGGAATGATTAGTTTGGAAGAGACCTTAGCAATAATAACACCATATTGCTTAGAGATTTATTTTTTATTTTCATTAGCATAATAGCCTTTCTACAAATCAAGCTTACTGAGGGCACCGAGTATTTCTCTACAGAAACCTGTCATGGTAGAAAATAGCAACCACATTTGATCCCATAGGAAGGAATTTGTGTTCAATGACTGAAGCAGTTGAAACATGAAAGAAGCTTTCTCAATTGCAGAAACTCTGGCAGAGATTCTGTTTTTCCAAATACAGTGTCAGGATTTAAATACCACATCACTTCTCAGCACAAGTTCAGACCCAGACAAGCCAACTTTCACACAGAAGGAATCAACACTTGCCTTTTAATACCAAAGAGACTGGTTTGAATGAGCTCCTGCCAGTAGTTCAAAAAAGAAGCCAGGTGTCTGTACTGAAAAATTCTTTTCACAAATTAATTACCATCCCCCTGTTCAGAACAATGGACATCAAGGGCTATGAAGGATAAAGATACAATCAAGCATGCATTGCGTTGGCTCAACACAGGATTAAATTATGGCTGAAAGGGTAGAGAATTAAATAGTCTCATGATAATTTTTTTATATACATTCTAAGTACTTGAAATTCACAATGCAATTACATAAATTTCACATGTCCTCAAAACCAATCTTCCTGTGCTAAATAATTGAATTGTTAGCATATCAAACAAGTCAAAGCAGAGTGCACCAAAAAGCCCTGTAATTTCCTGGTTTCGTGAGCAAACCAGAAACTTCAATATAAACTGAAAAACATTTTCATCCATTCTGAACACAATACTAACAAGAGGATACTGTAGAACCCTTCCCCTAAAGACTTTTTACCAAAGCCTTACAGATAAAGCACTGCCTGTCAGTTTTCCTAATTCTTTAATGAAGTCCATCACTCAGCAGACAGTTCTTGTTCCAGACAGACACCTGAACCTACCCAGGTATCTTTTTGTGATGAAGGAACATTCACACAGTGCTGCATGTGCACACATGTCAGAGCTCTTATTTTAAATTATCAGGAAGACTATCTTAAGTTCAAGACTTAATAAAATAATCAATACAGTAATTCTACCAGCCTTGCTCTTCAGTTATGGGGCTTTCTAAGAACAGGTGGATACAGATTTTTCTGTATGACAGATACAGAAAAACAATGCAAAGACTGACAAGATGAGAAGTGCACAGTGCAGCACAGCTGCAAGACTCTATCACAAATTTGAAGCATGGAAACATCACTGCAACTGCATCCGAGACATTCTTGCTTTCCCCAAACATTTTTACTTGAATCTACAGCACTCACAGCAAATCCAATAACATGAAGTGTCCTATGACTTCTGAGGAAGGGAAACAGATTCCACAAAAGACACATACCACCACAAGAGCATCCCAAACAAACTTACAGACATACCACTCCTGACACTTCGTAAAAGATGCCTCTAGAAAAACTGACTTTAATCCTTGAAGGATTTTTGGATTATATTTTGGAAGGGGTGGAAAATATATTTTAATGAATTTAAACACCACCGAGATGCAGAAATTCAAGATCATCTTAGAGTCAGATTATCTCTCATGGTTTTTTTTACAGTCATCTTCTCCACCAGCCATCATAACATATGCATATGCACACACCTCAACATCAGTGTTTAAAACATTTAGTCAAAATTTAAACCCTACCATACACAGAAGAGTTGGTCATCTCTCCGACACATAAATAAATAAAACTTAAATTTTGTTTGAGACTCAAAGTCCCAAACACTTATTTAATAGTGAATTATTTGAAAATTTATTGAATAAAAGGGAAAAAATGGCTAGAAAGCAGGCAACACATTATGATGAAGTTAGAAAAACTAGATACAACAAAAGGAATAGATCAGAAGAAAAAAGAAAAAATGTGAAATGTCTAATGATATGTTCCAGCTGATGGCCCAGGAAACCATGCCTGGTCTGTCCTTTTTGTACACAGTCTAGCACAAAACATGGTGCTTACACCATGCTGGAAGGGGTGTTTAAATGGCACTGTCACCTGCTCCCCCTGTCTTCATGTACACAGCCTGGCACTTTTACCTGGAAGATGACATTACACTTCTTCCTTGATGAGAAAGAAAGAGAGGTTCCCAAAGCTGAGTAGGTTCAACTTGCCACTC